ACAACTTGAAAAGTCAAATTGTCAAATAATATAACACAACTCAACAGAATATTGTATTACTAACACTAAGCAAATTATTTTATTGTAAATTAAATTTTAATTTGATTTATAATTTTCCATAGAAAAACGACGGATAGTCAGAACCGACAGTTTAATTATTTACTTTGTAAAAATTGAATAAATACAAGAATTAAATGATACCAAACTGTTAATACATAATTAATTAACTTACCTGAAGTCCCTGGTACACAGTTCTCCTCATTAATGCACTCTTTATTAGTATAATTTGTAATTTGTGCATTTTTGCTTGTTTCTTTCACAAGTTTTAACATAAGATTTGAACATTGCAGTATAACTTTTAACATAGTATAAAAAACTAGGCAATAAATAATGAATGAATAGGCAAACAAAGATATAACTAGTGTAATTTTTTAAGAAAAATTTAATCCGCTGCAACTCGTCATCGAGTTCGACGAATAGTGGCGGTTATTGAAATCCGTCGGGAGTGGCAGGGGGCGGTAGCTAATCCCAGCGCATCGTACAAAGACGGATATACACTACCGTCATTTTACTATGAGCGCCATTCAAATCCGACAGTTTACCGACTGAGTAACTTGAAATCTAAAATACATATAATTTTTTATTTTATGTAGCCATAATATTTAGATAATGTAGTATCCAAATATAGTAAAAAGTGAATTTCGCATTTTTTTCAAATCCGACTTTATTCTACGATCATGACGATATGATTGTAAACTTTCATTAAAACTCATTTAAGTAGTTTTTAAGTGAAAGAGTAACAAAAATCCATCCATCGACACTCACAAAACATTTATATTATTAAGTAAGTAAATATGCATTGTTTTTTTTTTAAAATGTAGGTATATTGATATTTCAATAATAAACTTGTATACTATGTCATATATAAATATATATCATTGTTAGTTAGTTCCACTCAGATCTTCCCTCTATATAATGTAAACTTTGCTAACTCCATAGTTGGAGCTCCAACTACCTACAAAGAAACTTCTCTGAAACCACGAGACAAACAAAATTCTATTTATTTACGCTACCCGTATAACAGAGCTCGCTTTTAACGATATATAGCTACGAGTTGAGCTCTTGGCATTCTTTAATGTAGAGTTGATGGTGACTTCATAACTATTTTACCCGACTTCAAAAAGGAAGAGGTTCAACGTTCGATTGCTGTTTTTTTATGTATGTTCCTAAATATCTTCGTCATATGCTTTTACACGTACGCTCTTTCCCGCGCGAATCGGCCTTAACGCAAGTAAGAAAAGCATGTAGGTAATTGTAATTGTAGACAAGGAGAACGAGAAATACAGCGCGCGAGAAGATCCCATATTCTTTAATCATGCGTGCTTTAGGGCTTTGTAACAATTAATTATCATAGTAAAACGGCGGATATCTGACTATGAAGCAAAGACATAATTATAAAGTAATTGATATTTTATACATTTTAAATGTGTAAAGAAAAATAAATCTGTGAAACAAAATGAAATGGCATGAAATAGACGCGCTAAAACGCTCAAAAGAGTGAACACAAAAAATAATGAAATGCAATCAACTCACGATTGCACTTTCGTGCGCTGAATCGCGCACGCTTCTTGCGCGCGGATTTGTCGTATATCTATCTTTATTTTTTTATTGTTTGAAATGGTATATACATATAGTCTCGAAGTGGTCCCTTTATCATTTTGTCAGGATCTGACAATGTGATCTCAGAGTAATTAAATTAATAAGGGAAGTCCTTATATATCATAGGCAGCTATTATGTTTGCGCATTTTTGTTAAGTTGTCCATGTATTTGCGTTGTATTAGTTACTCTACTCTGGCCTGCAAATCAGCCTTAACAAATGCTTATTTTTGCCTGGGTTATTCTGAAGGTAGGGCCAAATACCACTCTAAATGGTCACGTTAAAAAATGATTTTATCTATTTGTCATAGATTCAGCACTACGAACTATGTTAGTCTGTTCCCGAATATAGTTACAACCTGTGCCCAACGCGCGTCACTGCACACTCGCCACTCATATATATACTAATATATTTAAAGTGTAATATTATAATACTGTAAGTGTAAATTAATATTTAATGAATAAATGAATATAGAATTAGTAGTCATTCGACAAGAAGAACGAGCAAGAAACTTGCATGTGGCTCATGCAAGTTTCTTGCTCGTTCTTCTTGTGACGAAACAGCTTTCCGAATGAGCGGTAGATTAAAAAAAATGTGATGACTTTTGAAAAGTGCTTCAATGTAAGTTTATTTCAATAAATGATTTTCGATCTATTTTTATTTGAATTAAATCAAAAAATATATATTCGCCAGAGTTTGGGATTCCGTTAGAATTCTACTACGAGTAGTGATAAAATCAATCTTGAAGAAAGAAGAAATAAGTGGCTACCGTTATCTAAAAGCATGAAAGGAGCCTCGCACATCAAATTATTCCGAGATCCCAGTCTATACCGCTTCCAATTACCAACGAAGACGAGAGTTCTTGTCCTTATATTCAATTAAGCAAATAATGCTTGTCTTCCCAATTTTTTGTAGGCAGCGGCTAGATCTTCCGATCCAACATCCATCCAATTCAAAAGGGGATCGATATTACAACGGCCTGAGCCGAGGTTCAAATCTCTAGTGGTGCCCTCAGACTAAAGGCGTATCCATCAGGCGGGAGTTGGCCTTCAGCCACTCCATAAGTTCTTCCGCGGGGTTAGAGTGCCGTCTGCACTCGCCCCCTATAATCCTATCTCCTATTGTTACGATCGCTACGATAGGCTGGCCAGGCCAGATCACTAGAGTAGTCCCAAAAAAACATGAGACCCGCTGCGCAATGATGAGGATCGAGCCTGATAAAGACTGTGACATTATTAAGGTGTATGCTATAAAATAATTTATCTATTTTGACGACAAATATTTGATTAACACAGCTATTTACAATACCTAATGCACAGGATTGCCTAATGCCGTACAATGTCACTAGGCATATGAAGCAGGCACACATGTGTATTTATATCTATACCTATACACATGGATCAATAGATTAATTGTCTAATGGATAAAAGGCACAGTGGATCATTGGTAACGATGTCGCGGACAAGCCGGCGAGAAGAGGCTGTTGTGAAGCCAAAGAAATAGCTCCTTACGTAATCCAGGAGTGCGTAGCAGTGGCCACACAAATCCACGCTACGGTCAAGGTCGCTTCGTGAAGCATGTGAAAACACCAGGAGACTTCTGCGCTTCTGGGAGGTGTTTGGCTGGCTACCTTAGTAGTCTCTGCTCTATACGCACAACGACCTCAAGAGGCTAAATGCGGATAACAGAGTCTACCAACTACAACATTAGCACTATAAAGATAGATGTATGTGTATGCGTGTATATGTATGAATACAACTTTTAGTTCATATACTTACACACCACCGACCGATCTTTCAGCCATCCAGAATAAACACTACACACTATTCGGCACTTTGCTCTCAAATTAATCTAACTTTAATTTATTTTACTACATTTATTGCTATCACAATGTAATTAACTACCTGCCGAGATAGAGGAAAGAAGTAGATCCTAGGTATGAGATGAAGATTTATATAAAATTTTGTAATTTTTAAAATTCATAATAATAAGAATAATCACAGAACATGTTATATGTACATATGAATGGTTTTTATATAAATATCACATTTCATTTTTGCGTTCTAGTTTTATTTTCATTTTCAAATGCTTCACATTTTATAAACCGTTTTTAACTCTCAACGACATCTACATTTTAGTACTGAAACTACATAAAATAAAAAAGCACAAAGCGTTGACTACGAGTACTACAGCCATCTAAGTTGGTCGACTGTAAAACTTTCGAATCGAAATCTACAATTTTGACGAGTAACAATTATGAATGTTTAATATGTTAAATGCGAATAATTTTATAGGTATTTATTGATTTAATATGCTGCTGTTAATGGAATTGCTATATGAGCTAGTAAAAATAATGAATTAGTAATTTTCACGTTTTTTTTTAAATGGCGTAATTATCGTATTTTTAATATTTCCATTTAAAATATTTAACGTAACAAAGTATAAAGTAAATAATATTGTATTACCTATATACATACAGGAAATCACTTAAAAAACAGTAATTATCACGATGGTAGGTAGTCTCGGGGAGTTATAAAGAATATTACTAATATTCTTTAAGTGAGTGATTTCAGTTGCATGGGTAATAAACTTACAGACTTATGTTAAGATGTAAATTAATGACTTACATTTATAACCCTGACACTGAGATACAAAATGTCTGTTTGTTTTCTCTACGATCAGACAAATTCTGTATCTGCGTATAGATAATACGTTCAATGTACAACCTCTTAACAAATTGCGATAAATGTATCTTATTTTCGAATTGAATATTGGTTTAAACTTATCTACATATCTTAAGTCTACTGATATGCCATCAGCGACATATCCTAACATCGATTATATAACAGTTCATGAAATATTAGATCATAAATAAATAGTAGGTAAGTACTTAAGTGTATGGTAATTCATTTGCGTTGTCTAATAAACATTGTGCAGAATTTTATAAATTAGAAATAATTATATTGTACATATATAATTGATATTTTTATACTTATTATATTAAAGAGTTATTAATATTTCTTGTCAATTAAAATTGATAGAGCTGTATTTTATAACAATTTTAAAATATAAGAATGAGTAATTTAATTGTACAATAAATTATATTTTTCAAATATCGAATAACAAATTCATTTAGGTATAAATACGGACATAAACGCTAACAATAGTAATTGAAAAAAAAAACAGCTTTCCCTGATATTATTCAATAACCTCGACTTAAATATTGAAAATACAACACTAGACATCGCTATGTCAATGTCAAAATGTCAAAGTTGGCAGAAAGAATACGACATAATTCAAAAGCCCCCTCTCTCAAAAAAGATACGTAAACAAAAGGACACTTATAAATTATTGTATTATTATCTGCCGGCTGAAATGATCATGATCACACTGCGTGTTCAACTAAAATAGAGGTTTTTCTAATTATTCGTGACGTGTAATCAAATAAGCTGATTCTATACTTATTGGGGTGCGTTAAACATTACAAGTTTTCTAAGAAAGAGTTACTTTTATTGAAAAACAGTGTAATGTTTAGATCCTTGTTCAGCTCCTTGATAACTCAGGCCAGCTGTCAAGAGGTGGGTAAGTTTGAATTATTAACAAAGGCTTTTCAAAGAATAAGTATTCTAAATTAAAATTATTTGAATCTGCTCGCGTACAGTTATTGAACATTTCGACATGTCCTTGAAATATGTCTTTGCCTTGATATGCAAATAACTTCACAAAAGCGGCCTTCATTATATTTCCTTATCAACAATTTTTATCACTGTGTAGTTACACATCTCATATATTTTTTATTTTATCCCATCACCCAACTTCACAAAAAAGCTTATTATATATTAGATAACCTATCATTACACTTAACCTATTTGACCTTGTTACTATATTTCCCTTAAATTTGCATGTTTACTTACCGAAAATTGTAGAATTTACTTGTATTTATTGTAATAAAACAATATGATGTCAGATAGTTGAGAAGTACTGTATTGATGTGAGACAATTTAAACGGAGCTTTATTTTTCTTGAATAGACAAGATAATAATTCTTATCTGTTACGTCAACTGCTCTTATCAACTGTTATACTACCAGTACAAATTGTGTCTTCTCAACAAAATGTCCACTCGCCGGGTAATTTATTGTTTTTCTTTTATCATAACTGTAATTAATTATAATAGTGAATAAAAAATATTAAGAACATGTTACATTTCTCTGTGCTCATTAATGCTGTGAAGTTAAATGAAAATCAATTTTATTTTCTTTGTCGGTGAAAGTAAAATTGAATGTTTTACAATTAGGTGTCATTTAGTTTGTAATAGTTTTTTTAATTATTTTCTTTTGTGATATAAAAGTGCAATAGTATATTAATGTTCTTATTTTTTTCTGATAATTCATTAGTTATCAAATGTTTTCTGACCAGTATTAAAATGGACATGTTTCTTTGTTCAATGACCTTTTGCCTGGTGTTGTTCCAAGGGGATATATTTCTTATCAACTGTCTGGTTTCAAATTGTTTTGTACAGTTTATGAATTCACTGTAAAATGTTGCATATTCTTATAAATTGACCTATAAATAATATATCTTACATCATTATGTTCTTAATTGACTGAATTTGACAATTGTTTTCTAATTTAAAAAATATAAAGGTTGAAATATTTATATCTTCTGATCTGTGTGTTCTTCGCACTGTATATTTTTTTTTTATTGTGTTATCTCTGGCAAGTTAATTAGTAGTAGTAGTTAAATAAAAGTATGTTATTAAATCATTGTTATAGCCATTTTAGTTATAATATTGAAATACATGTTATCAATGTTGCTCTTTTATAATCTTTATTTAATTATCTCTGACTATAAGGGATCTAGTCTTAAGTTAGATTTTTTATTTAAGTATATTTATTATCAAAGGGATACTTATACTTACATCATCCTATATGCATTCTGCTATGGATATAAAAAATAATTAAAAAATAAACATACTGCCTTGACATAATTGGTGGTATTTTGACTATATTTAATACTGGCAAGTTGTAACTCATTTTACTTACTACTAACAGATAACCTATCAGAATCAATATTGTTTTTCTGATGGTGTTTTATTATAGATGATATCATTATGTTACAATAATATGTTGGTAACAACCAATGATTACAGATCAACAAAAACAAACATATACTGTTGTAATTTAAACTTCACATCATACTATGTAAGATTATATTTTTCTGTCATCATTGTACTGGATTTTGGACTCTGTTTCTGCATTTAGCCTCTCGTTTCGGCTGTTATTTGTGTAAAGCCAGCCAAGCTTTTGTAATCGTAATTTTTTAACAATTTATTTGTTTATACCAGACATACAGTGCAATGTCTGTGTCAGTACCCTGTCTCATCTATGTTAGTTGTCAAGTAGTTTACTTTGTAAGCTGTGTTTTGCTCTAGGGTGTGATTAGGCTGAGAATTATCTGTGTCAGTACCCTGTTTCACTGTGTACTTATGTGTATAATAAGTACAACTGTCAAGTAGTTTGCTTTGTAATCTGTCTTTCGCTGTGGAATTAGGCTATGTAATTACAGTAATGGCAACACATGAGCGGTTTAACAGATGTCACATCATAATTTAATGTCCATAATGCTGTTCACATATATATAGGCAATGGTTATCACTTACCATCAGGCGGGCCATCAGTTTCTTTCAGTTCAGATTATATAAACCTATTTGGTTTAGAGCGCTAATTGAGTCAAGATAAAAATTAAATAGATATACTCCTTAACAACTATCCCAACATAGAAGCCATAAATCGCAGTCACTTCAATGTTAGTATATCCAGTTTATACTGTATTTCTATTTCTTTCCTGGAGAGATTAAACTGTCAGTTCATACTACCAAATAGAAATAATCTTTATTCAAATAAACTCAATACAAGCACTTTTAAATAGTCATATTTTTTATTCTACCACTCATTGGAAACCCAGATTCATCACAAGAAGAATATGTAAGAAACTTGTGTGTCACTCTTTTGAATAGATGGTTTTTTTTCAGAGCCCCGATTGAATCATTGTAATAATTAAATACACTATACTGCTTAACAACTATCCTATATGCTGTCCATATTTTGTGGTCCCTTCCATTTTATACAGCATAAACTGTATTTATATTCTATAATCCCGCTAAAACAGGAAGTGTAGATAACAGGAAAACTGGAGTATTACAGTTTGATTAAACTGACAGTCGATTACAAAAAACGGAACAGCACTGATTGAATCAATATAATAGTTATAGACATATAAGTACTGTAATAATTATTATATTGATTCAATAACTATCCAATACAGCATCTATATTTTGTGGTTCCTTAAACGTCGTTATATCCACATATCTATGACATGATAACAGAAAATCTGTGGAGTATCCCAGATAGATTACTCTGTTGATACTTCCTAGTACAGTTTACGTTCACAATGTATGCCAATGTCCAATGTTATCAGGGAATAGTAATTACATAAGAGTTTATAATTATAGCACTGTGTCAAAGCTTCATCTGTATATTTAATTAACATCAATTTGAGACTCAGTGACACCTTTGTTCCAAGGAAAAAGAGTTATTCAACTATTTCTTGTTCGTATATGTGTATGTAGTGAGTATAGATTAAATATAACAAAGTGACTAGTAATATTTTAAATAAGTTAAATATACTATTGCTTCAATCCAGTTTTATTATTAGTTGCTGTTTACGACTTCCGGTTGTCTATTTGTATAACATATGATAATTCTACAGTCTTGATAGTCTAGCGGTTTAGCACACCTATTTAATTCCGCATTCCTCTTTTATTGTCGCAGGTTTGATTCCTCGCAACGTTCAAAAATTTGTATTAATGAATATGATTATTTGTCAGGGTGTTTTCTGTATTAAACAATAAAATATTGTATATATGTATTTATATCAGTTGTCTAATAGCTAACACAAGCTCTGCTTATCTTGCGACTAGATGGCGCTGTGTGAATTGTCCATTATTAAACCACCCTGGCTTTACTTGGACAGATATTATACTCAATAATTATGTCCTTAATTTAATTTTAAATATAAGTTGCGCCTTACGATTGTTTCACTATTATCTCTTCACTACATCACTAACAAACCCCTTAGGATTTATTGTTTTTTTCTTCACCTTTTGACGTATTTAGCATAAAGCGAATTCGTACTTATGAAGTTAGTCTAAAACCACCTTAAGCCACAGACCTTGTCGAGTGGTTAAGCATTTAGCATGGTTTGCATTACCCTAGTATTCTCATCCGCAAAGCAATCTTATCAATCTATTTTACTGTCTTTCTATTTCTGTACTATCCTTACCAAGGTCATCGTATAAATGTAAAACCAGTTCAATAATTATAATATATCTAATCTATTACATTTCATGTTTACAGTACTTCAGTCAGTGATATTATTTTCAACGATAAAAGTGCAATGTATTATATATTTTGATATATATGCATTATGAAAAATAATTTTATATTAATTAAATTTGGACTTTACACTGTGCTTTACCACATAGATAGACACTTAAATACAAAGTCTTCTGTGTCTTGCTTCGCAGTTGTAATTTTGTTTTGAAGGGTGAGCTATGGCAGTAAACTTGCAGGAGGTATGGCACTATATATAATTATATCATTCATTCATAATTGAAGAGTTACGCTCTTGTGGTTAAGCTCTTGCCACTTTCCACGATTTTCCATCATGCTCTTTAAATGTTTATACGACACGAGTCCCATTTTGTCTTTAATTTGCTTGTTAGACCTTGTTAGACCAAGGTCCAACTACTTCAAGTAGTTGGACCTTGGTCTACCCCTCCCCTTATTTTCTTCTATTTTTCCTTGAATAATAATTTTCATAAATTCATAGTACCGTGTCAAGTGTTCTAACATTTTTCCTCGTCTATTTTCTATTATATTAAATATCTGCCTCTTTAATTTTACCCAGTGTAGTAGGTACTTCTTCGTTTCTTACTTTATCTTTCCGGCTAATTCTTTACATCCTTCACCGACATCACATTTCAAAAGCCTAATTTATAGTATAACGCATACCACGTTACATGCAGTCGTGTCCGTGGTGCTGTTCTTGTTTATTGGCGATTGCCTCGGTGGTCTAGCGGTTTAGCACACTGCTTTTATTGCGATGGACGCCAGTTAGATTCCTGGCACGATGCAAACAGTATGATAGTTTGTATTGGTACTTATGGGTATTTTTATATTTACTTATTTTGAAACTATAGCGTTTAGTACACATATTAATATATTTCAACGAGTTTTAACTCGTATAATCTTCCCGTGGTCACGCTAGTTCGACCTAGTCGAAACGACGAGAGAGGTAAATACTTTTATTTACCATAAAATTATTCGTGTTAAAAGCCGTCTAACTATATCAATAAAAAATGTATTGAAGTATTTCTATCAGCTGTCTAGTACCTATAACACAAGTTCTGCTTAGCTTGGGACTAGATACCGCTGTGATTGATTCGGATTGGGATTGTTCAGGGTTATATTTATTGTAATTGACGACGGTTGCTATGATTTTCTATTAGGTAGGCCGTCAGTTGTTTGCTACTCAACTTACATAAATGTTTTGCTTTCAGGGGGCTGGTTATTTAAAAAGGGCTGACTCAGACCGACTTTATGAAATATTTCTAAGGTATGCGACCGTAGAAAGGAATGGTGAGAAGCACATCACTAGTGAGGACTTCGTTCGGAAATTCCTGGGATTGTTTGCCGAAGGTTTGTTAGTCATTATTATTATGTTTAATGCATTTTCCTTATGGTATTAGTCTATCCTGTGAAGGGTTTTGAGTACGAGAATGTTATACCTGAATCTTATACAGTAGCGTTTCGTATTTTTACATATAAAAATTACGTGTCACGTTGTTTGTCCGCGATGGACTCCTAAACTACTGAACCGATTGCAAATCTGATCCAACTTGAAAGATAGGGTAACTTAAATCTCAATTTATAGTCGCAATATTATTTTATTCAAGAACCTTAGCCACAGCAACACATGGCCGGATCTACTAGTTAATTATTAAGTTTGTGTTTTAAAATTTCCTATATGCAATATTGGGCATATAAGAACTAAAAAAATGGACTGTGATGTTCAACTACCTCAGATCGATCCGCAGTCCACTTCAAACCTAGCTATTGGACTTCAAACCTTAAATAGTACCTAAATATTAAAAATAAGGTGGTCAAGGTTGGACTTATCTCTGAAAGAGATCTCTTCCAGCCAACCTAAGACTGTGACTTAATTAATTGCCGGGTAATTAAAGTCGTATCCGCCAGGTAGGAGTTGGCCTTCAGCCGTTTGGACCGCCAACTGCACTCGCCCCCAAACATTTAGTGAAGTTATAAAGGTCAACAGAATTAAAATAGTTTGAAAAAAATGCTGTAATGATAATAAACGTCAAATTCTTCAATATTAAGGCTAGGCTAGGGAGCGGTCATACCTTGACATTCCCGAGCACAAAGCTATAGTCTCGGTATATTAAAATGTGACCACAAAAATTCTATAGATATCATCCCTAAATAGCATTGTTTATGTTATTCAGTTCAGACAACTTAAAGGCACTTATTATCTAGGTCTATAGATAAAAAATAAAAATATAAATTGTCTTTGTGGTCATGATACTGACTACGGCAATATAGTACGGTAGCTCCGTTACACCAACACCTTCAACTTGCAGTCCTATTCTCTATCCACTGTTGGATGTAGACCTTTCCCTATGCTTTCCACCATGTGGGATCGGATTCGGCCTTCCGCATTTATCCACTCTCGGCGACCTTGATGTGTCTGAGATGGACCATAGACAAACACAAATTAATTTAAATAATTGGTAATCCAAACAAAACCAAAGAAACCAAACAATCTCATACGATAGAAGCCATAAAGGTTTATATGCAACAGTAACTACGTAAAACCAGTTGTCCCGTGCGACTTTTGCATAACATTTATCATTATATATCGCCCAAATTACTTAATATCTTGTTCAATTATAGCCTATGTGTTATTCTGAGGTATAAGCTATGTTACTGTAAAGATTTATCAAAATCCGTTTAACGTGAAAGAATACATACATCAATACTCACAAACTTTCGCATTTATAATATTAGTAAAATATACTACGACTACATTACTTATTACTCTAATATCTATTTCTTATAATTTACTTCTGATGCAATTAAAATTATAAATAAATAATAGATGAAAAAGAAAGTTCTTTAAAGAGGTCGTAATGAAAAATATTAATCTAAATACACATCGGCATTACATCCACTAAAGCATGTTTTTTTATGCTACTTCCAAACAAACATACGGTCCATCCGATGGTATACAGTTATCTGTGAACTTTTTTAGAATGAATATAATTTATTTAAGAAAATAGTGGAATTACTACTTAATATATAGTTTTTATAAAACGGCAGTTATCATTACATACTATAAAATAAAGTCGCTGTGGCTGTCTGTCCGTCCCTATGTATGCTTAAATCTTTAAAACTACGCAACGGATTTTGAAGCGGTTTCTTTTATATTTTGAATATATAATACATGTACACCCATGCGAAGCCGGGGCGAGTAGCTAGTTACTTAAAAAATATTCGCAGTTTTCATATAGATAGTAGTAGTTGCGATATCTATACGTTCTACTTATATCTAGGGATTTAACAAAACAAAAGAATTTACTACTATCAACATTCCTCTCTGATGTTTATGGACATACCATACGATTTACTTTATGAATCAAATCTGATTTGAGTGTCAAGTGTTTTATATCAATCATACATATCAAACATATCTATTAATCCTTTTGATAAATAGCACTTCCTATTTATATCAATTTTTATATTTACTTCGATATACGTCACGCATCACACCATCCATAACAAAATTATTACTACGTATTTCTTTAAATCTCGCCAGGAATTAAGAATCGCCCATTCCTTTTAAATTTTTAGATTTTTTTTAATAAATACGTTTTTATTAGATTTTATGATAATTTTATTTTCTTTATTTATTTATACTGGAACGTGATACCTCTAACACTCTTGGTGTATATAGGCGACAATTGCCACTTACCACCAAGTTCGCCGTCAGGTTTTTGCCATTGTTCTTTGATGTGCTGAAATGGGTCGTGATTTTGAACGGGATGATGATGCTCAGCAACAAACTGCGACGTAGTTGATGTATATTGTATTTGTTATATATATGTATACATATTTACATCTTATTAATCTTGGAGAAATATATATGAAAACAAGGCTGCGGCAATGAAACCCGATGAGAGAGAAAAGTAAAAGAGAAGTCATAGAGTTACCAAACACACTTTAGACTACACACTAAGCGCAGTTTACTTGATGCTTTCCATAAACAATATCTTCTAACGAGTGGTTTACAGAATTTAAACTTCGACCATTCGACAATCATAAACAGAGCACTTCCAGTAACAGAAAAACACAGTCTATAAAAAGTCAAAGAACAAATATAATCTGTTTGTTATTTATAATATTATTGTTCTATCAGAGATACCCCGTGGAGTGATGTGAGATAATGAGAAATTGATAAGATCTAAATGATATAATAGTTTAATGTAGGTTTTTATTAACATTGCAAACAGAAGGCCAACTGATGTATAGATACATTATATACTATTTACATAACAAACTAGAGATTCGCAATAATTCAATCGATGTTTGTATATTCTAATTTTGTATACTTACCAGAATTGAACAGTGGAAGAAGTGGAGAATGTTATTTTTGTGTTATAATACAAAAATGTAGACATATTACTAGAAACAAATAAGCCGAGCGTTTCAACGGACATTAAAGAACGAAATGTGTTTCAGGGCAATACTTTTCTGTGTGAACCAATTTATTTTTCTTAGGTGGTCCCATATAAATGTAATCAAGATGTGTATGCGATTATAATAGTTTTTATTTTGTATTACAATAATATATACATATAAATGGAAATTATGGTTGCTATTACACAGTTAGTAGAGAACTGTAATTTCATTTTTGATAACGCTATGGGGATTAAATCCATCGCTCCTAAGAAAAGAAATGTACTTTTAGGCCATAACTTCTTATGCCAATTTATTTTTTTAGGTGGTCCCATATTAATGTAATCAAGATCTGTATGCGATTATAGTAGTTTTTTTTTATAACAATAATATATAATAATACATGCAAGTTGTGGTTGCTATTACAGTTATTAGAGTACTGTAATTTCATTTTTGATTACTCTATGGGGATAAAAATCATCGCTCCTAAGAATATCTTTCAGATCTTGTTCCTGACGAATCTAGATAGCCAACTTTGAATAGGGGCGAGCACAATAGATCTATACAGGTCGCAGTGCTACAGGTCTTTAAGCACCTGACAATAGTCCAAAACCCTCAATAATAAAAAATACCCAATGCCAATTACAACACAAATGTCATACACGTAAATGAGTTAGTTTATTGGATTATAGATTTAAGTCCAATTAGTTTATTGGATAATGGATTCTATGCAAATTTGTAACAACAGTTATTTCTAAGTGTCTTTTATACACAATTGTTACTTTAGAAACGGGGAAACGCAACCACTTTGGGGTCACTTAAACACTAGTTTATGGCATAAACAATTGTTATTTCCATTTAATAGGCCGTCAGATTCTTTGCCATTTAAAGTCTTAGAGAAAGCTTGTATTTACAGATGACTTCAACAAGGAATCCGTCAAGCTCATCGCCGGCATCGTGGATATGGACAAGGATGGATACATCTCGTTCTCGGAGTTTCAAGCATTCGAAGGTCTGCTGTGCGTACCGGACGCGCTGTATAAAACCGCATTTCAACTCTTCGACACAAATGGCAATGGGCTCGTTGCTTTTGGTAAGTAAAATACAGAAATGTATAAGAGTAATGTGACGTCTTCAACATATCATAAGAATCTTTCTTTCCTATCATCACGTGGGATTGTCGACATTCATATGGGTTTAATTAACGTCAATGTATAGTGAAATAACATCGATGTTACGTTCTGGATTACATCGACAAATAAAAACAAGATACGTAAAGTGGGAAATCGCAATAAATAAAGTTTTGGTGTCAAAAATCAAGCCATCCTTGGCTTCAATATTTATCCTAAAATCAGTACATCTTCACTGTTTTTCTAATATCGATTACTACTGTAATCTGCTTTTTGATGTTTTTGTTTGTTTATCCTTTGGATTTACATCTGCGGAACTTATATCTACGGAAGTATAAAATCTAGAGGTACTGTAGCCAGAGTTCTTTGGGTTGGGTTATAAGGGTTTACAACACTTATAGTGTTGCCAGATTTATACCAAATTATCGTTCTAGGTATAAATATTTGCATAGAAAACCAAGATATTGCCACGCTGATCTGGTGACTTGGTTTTTATACTACTATATGGCAAAGAAGACGCCTATACGAAGTTCGTGTGCTAATTAGATAATATTGTCTTTGCGCCTTATTGCCTCCTTACGTACCATTTTCTGGGATGAAAAAAAATGTCGTCTCACCCAATGAAACTACGCTTACATGTAGAAACAGACACAAGGTAGAGACTTTATTTGGATTACAAGATTAAAAAACAATTACATTAGGCACACTTGTGTAAATATAGTATGAGTGCCTTATGGTTGATTACGTAGACAATTCTATAGGACAAATAGATACACAGTATTATATTGAAAATAAAGATTAGTCTTTAGAAAAGTATATTGATCAGACAGTTTACATAACTTACATTTTACTTACACAATAAGTAAAATGTAAGTAAGTAATATTGGCATTAGGCACACGGAAATAAATAAATTTACATCTGTGTAAATTGTCCAGGTAATCCTGGAAAATTTGTACAGATTTACATTTATTTATTATTATTAAATGTATATTTTTATCTCAAACACATTTCTTAGAGAGCATAATGGCTTAGTAATTTCAACGAACCGAAAGACATATGTTCGAATCTAGGATACAAAAATTATTTAATCCAATAGACAGCGTTAAGCTCGTCCACTGCCACATTCGATTTAAATAACACGGCGAAAGTCAAGTGTTGCGTTTACTACGACGTCGACTGTTGAGGATATCTCTGACTATATCCTTCAGGTATATCAATCATGAAGGTATATTATTTATTATAATTTTATTTCCAGACGAATTCGCAGAGGTCATGCGCAAGACAGTCCTACACAAGAAACTCCCATTCAACATGGAGAGTACTTTCGTGCGGCTCTACTTCGGCAAGGATAAGAAGCGGCTGGTAACATATCAGGAGTTCAGCCAGTTTCTCCACGACTTCCACGAGGAGTATGGTGTGGAGGCGTTCAAGAAGTGTGATAAAGATGGCACCGGCTTCATAACTGCTGGAGACTTTAGAGATATTATGTTGACCGTTAAGAGCCATCTATTGACTAAGGATTTAAAACATAAGGTTATAAACGTAAGTGACGCCATCTATGTTTTAATATTTATATCTCTAATAAATAACCTTCAAATATTCAAATAAAATGTATCTTATAAGAATGTCAAAACCCTCCACACTACATAATTTACTTCCAAGTAGTGTATTTATTTATGTTAATTTTATATGTATACATACAAAACAGTTTCCTATGTATGTATCAGTTATCAAGAACACAAGCTACTTAGCTTCTGCCTAGATGTCGCTGTGTAAATTGTCCTAAGATATTATTATTAATATGTCTGTCTAAATAGTTTAAATCAATATAAAAAAGATCTTTTTGCATCTTAAAGTAGCTCTATTTTCTCTTTCTTCTGAAACAATCAGGATGTTTGCAATATATAATGTTTATATACATATACATTCGACATGCAATATTTTTATATAATTTTCTGCATGGCAACATATACTAATAATATTAAATGAACTCTCAATGATGCTTATATTCTTCTAATCAATATGTGAACGGGTGGTAGCATATTAAATTTACATACAATTTAAAATTCATAACACGCAATGTGTTTATTTCTTAATACATAAATACATTAATGTAATTGTTTACATTAATGTATTTACAATTTAAAATATATACCTAACATTTTTCTTTCATTTAGAAATCATATACACTGATTTACAGTAGCTAGATGCTATTATTTCTGCATATACATTTACAGGCATCTGGTTTCCCGCAAGGCGAGAGAAAAATTAGTTTTCCTTACTACATGGCATTCAACTCCCTACTGAATAACATGGAACTGATCAAGAGAGTGTACCTCAACGCTACCAACGGACACAGAACGCAAGAAGTCACCAAAGAAGAATTTCTGCACTCAGCACAGATGATGAGTCAAATCACACCGTTGGAAGTGGAAATACTCTTCACATTATGCGATATGATTCATCATACAAACAAGTGAGTAAAGTTTCGTTTCTTTGGACACACTTGCTCGTCAAGTGGATCTCATTTTACCGGTTTTTGATATATAAAGCAGCTCATAAAACACGCGTGCGTTACAAACAACGCACTATTTGCTATTTTCAAATTTGAACTGACCGCAGCGCGGCGCCAGCCAGTAGGCAATGCGCTAATTTAAAAAAGTAAAACGGCGGGAAAATGCCAAAATGAATAAAACATGTTTTTTTATATTATACGACGTTTTTCGAAAAAGCGCGGGAACTTTGAGGCGGGAAGTTCATTTTTCTACAGTCTTTTGATATTAAATAATTTATAGAGTTAATTAAATCCTAGCCCCGTTTTTGTGCGATAAAAATGGGTGCTGACAGTGGCGGCACCCAAAACAAAAAAGGGATGAGAAATTCTCCTGCTAAACCACCACCAAATAAAAGGAAGAAAGAAGCTACTTTACCACTACCACATGAAGAGGAAAATTCAGATAAAGATGAGGATACATTTTATGCGCCTTATTTAAAACCTAATTATATAAGGAGTTATCAAGAAAATTCACCAAACACAACATTTACTGTATTTATACAAAGCATTAAAGAAGAGGTTAAATTTGGTAATAAAAGTCCAGTTTACTTAAATAATTTATTCAGTAGATATGTAAAAGGAGTCAAGGAATTGAGACGAGTAAATGCACTAAAATATGCCGTAATATTTGACAATGCAAAAAATGCAAATTCACTATTACGTGATTCAACCTTTTTAAATGTTCAAGAATTAAAAGCATTCATCCCCGCATCGACAACTGAATGTACTGGTGTTGTAAAGTTTGTTCCCACTGATCTCAGTAACAAACATTTATTTAATAAATTATCTTCTCAACAGGAAATACTTTCAGTGAGGCGATTTATGAAACGGTCCGATAGTGGAATGATTCCACTTCAGACTGTCTCTATAACATTTGCAGGTAACATTTTGCCAGAATATGTAACGTACGAGCTATGTAAATTTAAAGTCGAACCATATATAAAACCTGTAATGCAATGTTATAAGTGCATGAAATTTGGACACACTACAAAGTTCTGTAAACGAGATATGGTTTGCTCAATTTGTACAGAAGGTCATAATTATAAAGAATGTACTAATGTTGAGAATCCTATCTGTGTAAATTGTAAAGGAAGCCATACCGCAGTTTCCAGACTTTGTCCAGTTAAAATTCAAAAAATACTTGAAAATAAAGAAAAAATTATAAACAAAAACAGTACCCTAAGTTCACATTTTCCTAATCTGAACTCGAGTTTTGCTAAAGCAGCTCAAAGTTACACACCTAAGAGAAAAGAGAAAGATTTTATTTCAGAAGTTATCAATAACGATTTAATTTTAACAGCTTTAGTACAAACATTAACTTCCCTTTCAAAAAAAGACACTAACTTACCTGTTAATACTTCTACAATCAAAGAAGTATTTCTTAAAAACATCAATCTATAATGGATCAGAAGGTTATTATAGATTCCTTAAATATTGTACAACATAATATACAAAGTTTAAGACCAAAGCTTCCTTTAGTCACACATTTACTTGCTAAACATAATATTGACATCTTGATTTTAAATGAAACTTGGTTAAAAAATACAGATACAGTAAATATTAGAGGTTATAAAGTATATCGTTGGGATCACAATGTAAACAAAGGTCATGGCGGTGTTGCCGTCTTTTATAAAGAATTTTTAAAATGTTCTAATGTTACCACCCAATCAAATGATAAAATTCAAACTGTTGCAATTAAAGTTGAAATAAATTCTGGGTTCTTAAATATTTTAGGATGTTATTGTCCTCCTCGAAGAGGGCGATTCCCTGTTACATTATTAAAAAATATTATTCTTTCTCTTTCTTCTCCGGTATTAGTCATGGGTGATATGAATGCACATCACACTATATTTGGATGTCAAAGTAATCAAATTAGAGGAACACAGATCTACGACATGCTAGACGAGATAAATTTATGTGTTTTAAATACTGGTGAAAGTACCACATTAAATCGTCCTAATCAAGCCCCATCTGCTATTGATGTAGCTTTTGCTTCTCCTGTCATTGCTGGTTTATGCGATTGGTCTGTTTTGTCAGATGATACTTTGGGCAGCTATCATTTTCCAACTTTAGTTAATTTATACATAACACCACAAATTTATGAATATGTGGAACAACCAGAAAGGTTTATATATAAAAAAGTAGACTGGAGCTCTTATTCAGATTCATCTTATAAATGTCTAAATAATTTTGGTTCAATAACAAATCCTATATTAGCATACGAACAATTTTGCACAATAATTAATAATTTAAAAGTTGAATATATACCAGTTATTAAACCTAAGTCGAATTGTGTTAAAAGTCATATACCTGTACCCTGGTGGAATCAAAAATGCATCGAAGCTGTAAATAGAAGTAGATTTGCTTTGTATAATTATAAAAAATATCCTTCAATAGAAAATTATATTGTATACAAAAAAATTGATGCAGAAAAGAAACTAATTATTAAAGAACAAAAAAGAAGTAGTTGGATTGAATTATGTTCCAGTTTTAATAGACATACCAGTATAGGAAAAATTTGGAATTTTGTTAAAAGATTTAATCGTATAAGACGGAAAAATGTAGTAGGTGATGATTCTTGGGTAAATGATTTTTTAAATAAAGTTGCCACTAATAAACAAACTGAAAACGTTGAAAATATAAATGGATACTTTAAAATGAATGATTTAAACACACATTTAATAAAACCATTTACCTTTGAAGAGTTTATTCTTGCTTTGAACAATAGAAAAGATACTACTCCGGGACTTGATGACATACCATATTTACTTATTAAAAATCTTCATGTTAATTGTAAAATGAAATTACTTGAAATATATAACAATTTATGGGAACATAATTTAATACCCGACTCTTGGAAAACTCTAGCAATTATACCTGTTTTAAAACCTGAAAAAGATCCGTCTTTAGCTGAATCATACAGACCGATTGCTTTGTCATCTTGTGTGGGAAAGATTTTTGAAAATATGGTTAAAAATAGATTAGAAATGTACGCAGAAACTAGAAATATTATACCTCCATTACAATATGGTTTTTGTAAAGGAAAAAGTGCAATAGATAGTCTTCTAAAATTTACAGGTGATATTAAAAATGCTATGCTATGTAACTTACCTCTTATTAGTGTTTTTTTAGATGTACAAGGAGCATTTGACAATGTAGATCTATCAACTCTCGTTCAAATTCTTAATTCATACAACATACCAGGTAAATTTTCAGAATGGTTATTTAAATTATTTTATGGAAGAACAGTTTTTGTTCGATATAATAATAAGCTTTATGGTCCGAAATTAGCATTTAAAGGTGTAATGCAAGGCTCTACATTGTCTCCCCTCATATATTTACTATATACTGCGGAAATTCACCGATTTGTAAATTTGAAAAATGTAAATATATTGCAATATGCAGATGATATTGTTATGTATTCTTCTAGAGAAAATATTTTACAAATACAAATTGACCTAAATCTAAGACTTAGAGAACTGTACAAATATTATAAAACTAAATTGAAACTGGATATTAATCCCTATAAAAGTTCAGTTATGGTCTTTAATAGATGTAATTCTTTGTACAATCTAAATATTAATTATATAAACAATGTAAACATAAATATAGTCAATGAAAAAACATTTTTAGGAATAGTTTTTGATAGCAAAATGTCATTTTCATCTCATGTTACAAAAATATTGAATAAAATGGATAAAAGTGTCAATATTTTGAGATACTTAGCTGGTGTTAGTTGGGGTATGGATCCCAAGTTACTAAATATGTTGTATAAGTCCATTGTTAGAAGTCATTATGATTATGGTCTGTTTATTTATGGAAATTGCATAAACTATACTCAATTAAGAAAAATAGAGGTAGTACAAAATAAGGGTCTTAGAATCATAACAGGAGCAATGTGTTCGACTCCTATTAATTCTTTAGAAATTGAATCTGGCATTCCTCCAATTCATGTAAGACTTAATTATTTGATGGAAAAATATTATTTAAAAATTTTTGCAAATAATACACTGAGTAATATATTAAAAAATAATAAAATTATACAAATTGATAATGAACTATTAAATGAATTTGTTAATATGTATCAATGTGATAAATGGTCTTACGGTTCACTGGATGTTCAAACTACAAAACCTACAATAGTACAGGAGAGAGTGATGGATAATAATGAATTTATAATATACACCCAAACATATAAACCTGATTACAGAAAAATATTTACTGATGGATCGAAATCTGAAGACTCTACTAAAGCGGCATATTTTGACTCCTTTACTAAAACTGGACAATGCTATGTACTAGATCAACATTCATCGGTTTTCACTGCGGAAGCATATGCAATTTTTAAAGCTTTGAAATATGTACAAGACATAGAAAATTCAAGACGATTTCTAATAATAACGGATTCTCTAAGTGTATTGACATCCTTAGATAATTATAAAATAAGCTACAAAGATAATTTATACATTTACTTAATAAGAGAAATTTGATATGACATGAAATTGTACAAAGTTATAGAGTTCATGTGGGTTCCATCTCATGCTGGTATTACTGGAAATGAAGTTGTAGACAGAATGATGAAGATTAATGAACTGGATTGTCATTTGGATTTATCGCCAGTGCCAATAACTGACTACAATGCATTAATTAACAGAAGGATGTTTAGTAATTGGAATAGTAGAAAATGGGCAGAAACCAAAATGATAAAAGGAAAATGGTATGCTGATATACAGAAAGAAATTTTTGGAAAACCATGGTATTTCAAATTACAAGAACCATCTAGAAGATACATTACAACGATTAATAGAATTCGTATGGGACATGGGCAGTTTCCGGCTCATTTGCATAGAATAAAATTGAGATCTTCTTCAAATTGTGACTACTGTACAGCAGAAAATGCCGATCTACAACATATTATAATGGAATGTCCAGCATTTGGTTTGCAGAGACTTATTTTGATAGATGGCTTAATAAGTTTATATAATAAAAAAGAAGTACCCCGCCTCTTGCCATCTATCCTACAAAATACAGAAAGTTATCCATTTTTATACGAGTTTATACACAATACAATAAGAACGCTATAGATTATAATGCTAAAGATATAGTTAAATGTAATTGTTTGGCTGAAAGGAGATTTCCAAGGCCGTAAAATACTTAATAAAAAAAAAAAAAACGACGTTTTCGTACGTGCTTATTTAACACACTCGGCTCTATTATGCCTCTATGGCCTACGGGTCGGGTTGAAATTCCGGCTCGTGTGTTAAAATCATTGTAACGTAATATATTATAAACTTAATACGCCGCATTAATTTCGCAAAGGCTGTTAGTTGTCTTTGCTTTGCATCGAATATATATTATTTACAATTTTAAAGCAATAAGTACCCAAGTACTAACATAAGATGTTATTCAAAGGAATTTCGAATTAATTCGTGCGCTTTGTTTCTGCATACATGCATATTATAATTATTTCTCCGCGGATTTTTTCGTACATTTCATGTAATATATTACCGCATATTACCAATTTAATGTATTAAACATTAGTAACTTAATACACGGAAAATATGAGCAATAGAAATTCCCAATACGGATTTACCTTATGTCAAATTTCAAACACAAACGATTTTAATTATTTCTGAGAGATCATTAAAAAAAGTGGCTATATGTATATGTAACAAATATTTAGTTTAACAATAGGTTGCATGATTAATATAATTTCGCTTGGCTGACCACTTTTTGAGCATTCAGAAATATGTGAAATCGTTTGTTTTTTAATTTTGACAGGTAATAATCTTGGCTGCTCGTGAATTGGCCTGGATGGTACCAATACTAGCCAGTAGTAAACATGCTAGACCGTAGTCGAGCATGTATGACAAATGTATGGGTATGTCATACATACATCAAAATATAATATGTAAGTCAACTCAATATTATAATGTAGTTTTTAATTAATAAGAAAGATACATTTCAACTAGTAATACACATTATTTTTGTAAAAACTGAATTATTGCATCGACTTTGATCAAAAGGAGTTTTCTAAATCCATACTTGCGAATATCATGATATATTCTGTGTTTGTGTTATATCATGAGGACAGCCATAGAATATTTTTTATCCTAAAAAGCGGACAACTAGTCGACTTTTTGACAATCCTAGTAGTATAATGCTGTTGGCCGCAGCTGGCCTTTACAGCTTCACCGGACGATAGGGGCGACTGCAAATGGCACTCCAAACCCGCGGAACGACTTATGAACTTACGCCTGACGAATACGACTTTAGTCTAAAAGCACCGGAGCGCACTAGGGCTTCGAACTTCGGCTTAGGCCGTCGTAATTTCAATCCCCGTTAGAAATAAAAGGGTGATCGATTCAAAGTGATGTAACTCGTGTAATTTCCATATCAGTTTACCATTAGTGCTGATAGGTAATCAGATATTATAATTGTTTATAAAACGCAATTAATAATCCTTTATTAATTAATTTAGATATATCTTACTTAATTGATAAAAGGAATTTACGTTACCACAGTGACGCGACCGCATTGATGTATAGGTAATTGAGGAAAACATAAATAGTTCTAATTTAGAATGACTCACATAGCTATTGTTTTAAAACGATTGTACCAAGCTGAGTTAGTACGAAGAGTTGATAATAATTCACACAGCTTCATCTAGTCGCACTCTAGCTAAGTAGAGCTTGTGTTATGGGTACTAAACGACTGATAGAAAATACTTACATTATTTTTTTTGTACCCAGATCAATACAATCAAACTCTTGAATACAAATGTTGAAATTGTGCGAGAAATTGAACCTGCGATCATAGAAAGTAAAGTGGTGTGCCGCTACCGAGACCGTCATAATTGGTGGAATTCCGCAAAATAACACCTAATTCGATAAAACATTTTACCAATCCAGTTACATAAAGAAATGGTTTCTAGACTTGTTCAAAATCAAAATATCATTATTACTGTAGGTCTGTTACAGACTCTTTTGATATGTGAAATCTACCATTAGTTCGGAGTGCTTTCGAGCCAACAAGAACTGACAAGAAACTCAGCTCTTGTTCTTTTTAAATGAGTTTGTACATGTTTAGAAAATACAGAATTTTTTATTTTGTGGCAATCACTATAAACAATGCCACTACTTCATGAACAGGCCGAAAATCCGAAGCTTACGCTGCCGACCACCCATTCAGTAGTCTATTTTATTTTTTTATAATTATATTGTGGGGGTTTTTTTTTTTTTTTTTATTATTATATTGCGGGGTTTGGGTTATTGTCACGTACTTTGACCTGTAGCACTGCGACCTACATAGATCTATTGTGCTCGCCCTTTTTCAGAGTTCGCTACCTAGACCCGTCAGGGACAAGAATTGAAGGATATTCTTAGGAGCGATGGTTTTTATCTCCTCGGGGATGAGTGTAAACTTTCCAAAGGAGATACTACGTTTATACATGAGTGGACTACAACCACGTAGGATGTGTAGTGGCGTTTCCTCTTCAGTTTCGCAAAATCTGCAGATGTTTGTTGTGCACAGGCCTAGGTTTGCCATATGTTTAGATAAGTAGTATGTTTCATGCAGTTTGTTAAGACATACGTAGTTTAGTCGACATAAAGTTGACCGTTCGGTTTTGTGTATTTTGCAAAATAAGAGAGCTTTCTATGAGAGGCTCTATAACTCGCACCATACAAACCCTGAGATCCTCACGCCCAAATCTGGCGCCCATAAGTTCTAATTAGGGAGAATAGAGTCAAAAAGAGCATACGGTATTACAATTCTGTCAAAATAAATAGTCTAATTAGTGGTAGTTGTTGTTGTTTAACAATAATAATAATACAATTGTTAAACAGTTTCCAAGCTTATCAAATGGAGATTTCCTTTTATTTACCACCTCTACGAAATATAAATAATCTTATTCTGTAATCACAGCCACTGTACTGTAAACATTTATGAATCAGTATTACTGCTAAGAATGGTATTATTTTTATTATAGATTAGTAAACATAGATTACACAGTATTCGCTTATCTTATCGCTTATTATACTATACCCGTGTTTAGACTGCGTGATCTGTACTAATAGTATAGAAAGAGTGAGAGTAGATTATGATATAAAGAGAGACAGAGAGAGAGAGAGAGAGACAGAGAGTAGATGGTGTTATGAGTAAACCCCAGAACCACTGCTCCGATTGGAGAAATTCTTTTACCGTTCATTGACCCCGAGTGACTTCTATACTGTTACATTTTCATGACTAAATGGCTGAACGGATTTTAATGAAATTTGACACGAGGATAGATGATGATGTATCTCGAGGACAGACGTAGGTTATCTTTTACCTCAAAAAGAAAGATAGACGGTGAAGAAAGATAGAATTAGAAGGATAGACGGTGAATTTATACAGACGAAGTCGCTGGTAGATTATATATCTATGGTAATATGAAGCTCAAAAGTTTATTTTGCTAAACTCGTTTTTGTTTGGTTAAAAAACTACTCTTTCGTTTTAATTACAACTATGTACGTCAGCTATGTTGTAGACTTAAAAAACGAATTATGAACTGTATAAATCATTATAATTTTCACATTACATGTATATCTTTAGAAATATAATGTAGGAAATCCTCGCGTAATTTGAAAATGCGGTACAAAAGTACCGTGTTATAGGGAAATTATTACGATATAAGTGTATTATGATAATTATAAAACATGAAGCGGAATTTAAGCCGGAGCTGAGGGGTGGGTGTAATAGACCTGAGTATGTTATATTACGCACGTATATCGTACGACATTTCTTAACACACTTGATTTTAAGTAAATTTTTAATTAAAGTTTAAGTAAATTCAAGCATAAAACTGTGATGCATACTAGGGCCGTCCCGCCTTTTTACTTTTTTTTTAATATATGCATACAACACTAAAGAAATTATGAGTACCCTGGCTAAGCTAAATCCGTCCACTATTACCTATTGAATGTAGAAAACAAAAAGTTTATAGTTAATTTTTCTCCTTTCAGTCGAATCATATACAATGATCTCAACTCTATCACCCCCGAGCAGTACTTCAAACAAGTCACTCGAAGAGTTGCTGAAATCAGAGCGGTCTCGGTAAGTATAAATCTGTTTCCTTCACTCTTATACTAATCGTTATATAGCTGTTTCGTTTTAACGCAACACTACGAAATTCTTACAGGAGCCGACAGCGCGATTACACGTTTAGTAAAAATGTATGTTTAGTGTAATTTGGACTTATCTGTTGTTATGTTAAGAGCTATTTTAGGAAACATCACTAACTTATTGCTCTGTATTTTTCTCTTTCTTTCAATGCACAAAAGGAGGAGGTAAATATATTAAGAGAGCCTTATCAATTATTATACTATTTGGGACGCATCATGGTAAGTACAGGTCACACGAATTCATGATGTTTCTATGTTCTTTTATTACATACATACATACATTACGTGAGGTATTGACCTATATTATTTACACTTATCCATCAACTCTATATATGTTTATTGACTATAAAAATAATTTCATTGATATTAGGAAGGAAATTAAAATTACAACCGATAATGTGAAGTTGTCATAATAAATGTTGATCATCGTGAAATATGTCCGACGATTTATTCGCAAACTAGTTGAGGACAATGCATTCCTGTGCGTTGTAATATGAACAATAATGCCAACCATACGAAGATCCCGTACAAATACGACATTTTTGGCATTTAGTACCAGGGCATGTTCCTTCTCATACATGTTTGTACAAGTTTTTCACCTAAACTATATATAACATAACTTGTAAACCGATTGGAATAAAACAAACACAAAATTTTATGTGAAGCTTACCACAATAGAATATGATATTACACCGCAATCGTTTTAGCTGTTTCTGAGAATAACGCACACAATCGCACTGATATAAATAGAAATAGAAATAATCTTTATTCAAATAATCTTAATAAAAGCACTTTTGAATAGTCAAGTTTTTTTTATTCTACCACTTATTCGGAATGCAGATTCACCACAAGAAGAATAAGCAAGAAACTTGTGTGTGGCTCTTTTAAATAAATATTGATTTACTTATATTTAATTAACAACAAGGATTAGGCATGCGACAATCAACATAGAAACCGCTACGCACTTAATCTCTGTTCAATCAGATAACATTGTCAGCGCTATGTTTAGTTTTAAGTTAAATATTTTCTACAATAACATTATTATCATTTATAAATTCTTCAATTATATAATAAGCTTTTTTACATAGAAAATATTTTATAATACATTTGAATTTTTTTCTGGCAAATTGAGTACAGACTCTGGGATAAAAATCCTAACAATTAGTGTTTTGGGTTATATTAATTTTTCTTGAATAAATGTCGTTCCACATCCATACTTGGTATTTGACACTGCGTCGTTCTCATATATCGGCCATATATGATAGACAATAATATTTTTTTATTATATTACGTATTAATTGTTATTGCGGATTTATTAATTAATCAATTCATGTCAACGACCCACGAGGAATGTGTTATTTTTTAAAATTGTCTACAACTCGCAAGTTAATCACCAAAAATCAACCACGATAACAGTTGTAAATATGTAAACATATCTTCGTAGTACATTTACTTTATGAATCATTACATTGGTAGAAAAAAAATTACTATTCAAAAATGCTTATATTAATTTTATTTGAATAAAGATTATTTCTATTCTAGTCGTAAAAGCATAGAATGCTTTTACGACTTAACCAATCAGTATGAAATTTTACTTACACGTTTACGAGAGAGATAACCAACTTTTTATCCCGGTCGATCTTGTTAGATAAAGTCGCTTGCAGAAGTTAGTTTGAAAATTATATCCCATAAAGCTTTTATTTATACACATGTGTAATTATTATAGACCAATATCTCACTGTATTATGATTTAGAGAATTTTAAATACTCCAATAGCTTCTTACTATTTTACACTTCGCGGCAAATAACTTCAACATACCATAAACAACAAAACTTGCGCAATAGACGCTTTTCTAAGTAATTTATGACTGCACATTTCACGTGACATTAAAAATATGCTTAAGTTATTTGCCTGTACATATAATCACCAATGACGCTACTCAATCAAAATTACACAGACTGAAGAAATTTAATTCATTACTATCATTCACAAACACAAGAAACCTATTACCAAATAATTACAAATAACCAATCACAGCAAAGTATCAAGTGCGTCTTTATATACAGACCAATACAATCCTTTTCTCCTTAATAGGCGGTTACGTCATTCTGTTTCTGAAATAGTAAATACATAATGTATTAGTACTGCATTATCATATGCAAAAATGTATACACCAGGAATATAATAAAATAATTTAATAATTAACAAAAAAAAATGTGTTTTAAAAAAAATATTGCTTATTTTTCATTCATATTTTTTAATTTTCTTTCTAATATTGCTACCCATCCCCATACGCGATATATAAATTTGCTCCATCATCCGTCGTTGGCTGAATTCTATTGCAAGTAGCAATTGTGGCTCGTTACATTCCATTAACAGTCTAGATTATTACTATGATGATCTAAAGTCCTATTTTGATTGTATCGCAATTGTCAGACACTAGAATAACAGCCACATATTCCCGAAGCTTATTTAGTTATTTTTTTATGTAAAATTTAAAATAGAGTAAGGTCTGTGTCGTATTATCTATAATACCAACGGCCATCAATTATTGTTTTTTGGGTTCAGTTAACAAACGCAAATAGTAAGTTCTAGAATAGTTGCTCTGCCTATTCTCTACCTTTACCTTTACCCTTCCTCTTTCTCTTTCTCCACTTTCTAAATATCTTGGAAACGTACGTCAGAACGTGGTAAGAATTAATATAAATAACAAGGTATTTACTGGTAATTACAATAAAGATTAAAATGTAGTTGGAAGAAAAATTTAAAATGAATACAATTGTCCTGTTATATTTTATTAGGAGTTAGACAAATATGTGTCTTATGGCTTGTTCCAGAGTCCGGAGGAGCGCAGTTTCCTTATACAAATCTTGGAAAATACTTATAGGTTTACACTTGGTTCCATCGCTGGAGGTAAGCATTGATTGCTTTCTTCTTTTACTTTTGACAACACAGCGCTATCTAGTCTCAAACTAAGCAGATCTTGGGTGTGGGTAACAGAAAATACTTGATACAAATACTTTTTTTTCTAATTACATTCATAATACACATAGAAAACGCTCAGACCAATACAAACAATCAAACTCGTGAATACAAATGTTTGTATTCTGCGACGAATGGAACCAGCAACCATCGGAAATAAGGGGGAGTGCTATTCCGCTAAACCACCGAGACTATTTATATTACTATACTTAAATAATTGTATAATATTCTCTTATGCCCAATTTACACTCAATCCGAGTGGGCAGGGAAGTGAGCAGCGCGAGAGTGTAAACACGAGTGCCATTCCATGCCATTGGCGCTGCCACTCGCGCTGCCCGGCACTCCCTATTGTCGGTTTTTCGTGCGCGAGTCAGTGGACAGACGAGTGGCAGCGTATTTTTACATTCAGCGCTCTCGCTCAGTTGTCGCCCGGCAATATTTCCGGCAGCGCGAGTGGCAGGGACTGAATGTAAACGTAGCATTAAATTTGCAACAGTTTTGTTAACCCGAGGTAGACTGTAAAAAGTAATTTGCGTGGCTACTTCATTCTCACCTATTTCAGCTGCTAAACAGCTTGCTTTATAAGCTGTCTTTTGTTAGAAAAAAGACAGTAAAATTACAGGACAAGAAGCATGACATCTTCATTCTCCGGCATAACATTGCACGAACGGTATCACGGGTGTCACATGATAACGTAACATCCGCAGTGCTGTTCATGTATATAATTACCAGTTGCCATCAGATGATCAGCCTGTTTGCCATTCAAATTACATAATAAAAAACAAATATTAATTTTTATATATTATTTCTTAGCTGTCGGTGCGTCTGCGGTATACCCCATTGACTTAGTGAAAACGAGAATGCAGAACCAGCGCACCGGTTCATTCGTCGGTGAGGTGGCGTACCGGAACTCTTTGGATTGTTTCCGGAAAGTTATCCGGCACGAAGGATTCTTTGGGCTCTACAGAGGTCTGGTCCCTCAGTTGATAGGAGTGGCTCCAGAAAAGGCCATTAAACTTACGGTAAGTACTAGTAGATAGTTGAATGTTTACTTGAACTGATTTATAATACAATAATATTAATATTCCTGGACAATTCATACAGCGCCATCTAGTCCTAAGCTAAGTAGAGCTTGTGTTATGGATACTAGATAATTGATGGATATACTTAATTACATTTTTTATTGTATTTCTATAGTGTATTTTTTTGTTGTATTGTGTGTGTTGTTAAATGTTTTTATTTTATAAATTTGTTTGTATTGGTCTGGACCAATAACAATGTTACTCACTCAATTCATATGTTTGGACAGGAATCGAACCAGCGACTTGGTAAATACATACTTAAAAAGTCAGTAAAGAAATCATATGTGTATGTTTTTATGGATATGTTAAAAACTGGTAAAGAACTAAGATTCAATTGTAATTGTTGTATGGTACACTATTTCCCATATTCCATTTAGTTAATGTCCCATAATAAACTTGATTAGAAATGGATGTTATGACAGGCAATATTTAATTTATTGAGATAAATTATAGAGACTTAATACTTATATGTATTTATTTCAGGTCAATGACTTTGTCCGTGACAAACTCATGGACAAGAAAGGGAATATTCCGCTTTATGCAGAAATTCTAGCTGGCGGCTGTGTGAGTATTTTTTATATATATATTATTCTAATCAACTACCTGTTACCTGCGACATTGTCCACGTGTATTTTTTTATTAAATAAAATCACCTTAAGTTACTGCTAAGCCTAAGATTCTCATTGTGAGAACGCCGTCAAAATAAGTCCAGCCGTTTCAGACAACATACAGACAGACTAAATTATATTAAATTAATATTTTCATGCAAGTACCGAATATACTTTAACATAAATTTAGTGAAAAGCTGTTAATTTGAAATTACAAACAGTTCACTTTTATTTGACGACCTCGGTGGTCTAGCGGTCAAGCACACCGCTTTACGACCGATGGTCGCGGGTTCGATTCCTCGCACGGCACAAACATTTGTATTCATGAGTATGATTGTTTGTATCGGTCTGGGTGTTTCCTATGTATAATATGTATGTATTTACAAAAAAAAAATATCTATGTATATGTATCAGTTATCTAGTACCCATAACACAAGCAGCTTAACTTGGGTCTAGACTTGTTGAGATTATTACTATTACTATTACTATTTATATAGATACCTACATATACAGTTCCGTTTAGGTGTTTTTACTAGTTTCCGTATCCAACTAAGGAAATGAATATTTTTTATTATAACCCTCTGTAAAGGTACAACTATAAAAATTGGTAATTAAAAAAAACATAAAACATTACACAAAAATATATCATTACACTAACAGAATGCAATTTTATCTCTTTCAAATAATAATATTTTTATATGTTATTTTTTTATGTATCTACTTTTAATATTGGTGCAATAAAGAATTATAAATAAATAAGAAATAGAATATATATAAATCCTCCCGCTACACTTAGGTTGTGGAATGAACATCCTGCCGAGGTTTTCTCACGAGACTACAGCATGGGCTTCTTCAAGAAGGTTTCTTAAGGGTCGCCAACGCGCACGTGACACCCCTGGTGTTTCAGGCGTCCATAGGCTACGGTAACCATTTACCATCAGATGGGCCGTATGCCTGTGCCTGCCACCATAGTAGTATAAAAAAAATATTATATTGTTCCAATTGTAACTGCCTTGTTTCAGGCCGGCGCCTCCCAAGTAGTATTTACCAATCCACTAGAGATTGTGAAGATTCGTCTCCAAGTGGCTGGGGAGATCGCGACCGGCAGTAAGGTCCGCGCGTGGAACGTTGTCAAGGACCTCGGACTATTCGGACTGTACAAGGGCGCGAAAGCCTGCCTTCTAAGGGACGTGCCCTTCAGCGCTATATACTTCCCGGCTTATGCTCATGTTAAGGTACGTGATTTTTCTTCTTTCAAACAACAACGTAGTGCAGTGATAGTTATCGACAACACGGTATCCGCAACACTTGATATATCCATTTTCTACTGAATGTATTGGAATTATTTTATTTCACATTGATCTAATAAAAACGTCCTTTTTTAAAATTGCTTTATTATAGAAGAAAACTGATTTATTTAGACAGGGTTCAGAACAAATAACTCAAGCAGGATTTTATTTTATCTATTATATTAAATTATTAATCCAGTCGTATTACCTAGACCTAACTTATAAAACTCATATTCATGGTAAATGTCCCGTTCATATACTATAGTATCGACCATAAGTCTTTCTCACCATCTGATGATGATGAAGGACCTCGCGGTCCCTCGTTGTGGCTTCTCCGGGGCGACTAACTCGCTGGAGTTATGCTACTTGCTGGCTTGTTTTATGTAATAATACTTAAAACTAGCTTACCTATTATAATAGTGATTATATAACGTGTACAATATTCGTTTTATCAGGCGAAGTTTGCGGATGATAATGGATATAATCACCCACTGACATTGCTTGCGGCCGGTGCTATCGCCGGTGTCCCGGCAGCCTCCCTCGTCACACCTGCTGACGTCATCAAGACGCGACTACAGGTACGAATACAAGTATTTAGTTAGTAGTATTTTTTCAACTGTCACTTTCAATTAATAATTGTTTCGATTGTATGTTTGTAGTTTTATTACATACCTTTTTTTTAGCAATAATATATTTCTTTAAAGTAGTAAGTGGTAGAATTATTATATTGTACTACAGACGTTAATTTTCGTAGCATAAATCTAATCGTAGCGATTTTTTTAAAGTAGTAAGCGGAACTTCACCTAACTCTTAATATTATTGGCCTATAGTAGAAATATGAAAATAATCTTTGATTTTATTAAATTAAGGTATTTTATTTTATTTAAACACGAAAAAAAGCAACAGCAACTGACAAAACTAATCACGACGACATTATATGATGCAAGCAAGATAAATCGTATATTCTGAGCATGACTTGCTTCGTACTTCATTAAAGCACGACTTAGCATTAACTCTCTAAATTGTAAGTTTCATTTATTTGACGGCCTCGATGGTCTAGCGGTTTGGGTATTTTCTATGTATATTATGTATGTATTTAGAAAAAATATATATCTAAGTAAGTAAATATATATATAAGTTGTCTAGTACCCACAAGCTGCAGAGCTTAAAACTGCGCCATCTAGACCCAGAGACGGTAAGCAGTTACCGTGGGGTCTAGATGGCGCAGTTTTAATTGTCCAGGGTTGTTTATTTGAATTATAGTATGTCCATTTCAGGTAGTTGCGCGGTCAGGACAAACGACTTACAATGGCGTATTTGACGCCGCTAGGAAAATTTACGCCGAGGAAGGCGCCAGAGCTTTCTGGAAGGGTGCATTAGGTAAGTCTACAACTGATATGTTTAGTTTGTCGGTTACAAGTCGATCCATCATTTTTAGACTATTTAGACTAAGGCCTCTGCTGAAAATCAGAGCTATAGCTAGAACGGCTGCAGCAATATGCTGAGCGGAGTCCTTTTTAGTAAATATTTCGTAGTAGCATATTGGTTTATTATTTTTAATTACGTTGTTGTGGCTATGTGTATAATTGTATATATATATATGTACGTGAGTGTTATTATTGCCAATTTAATCTTACTAATAATATAAACCCGAGAGTTTGTGAGTATGAGCGGGAAGGGTGTATGTTAATCTTACACGCAAAAACTACTGTACGGATTTTGATAAAACTCTACAGTAATATCGCTTATACATCAGAACAACACAAAAATTATAATTGAAATAGATATTATATAAATTGGACGAAATATAAATATAATGTCAAGTAAGTGTGTAAGACGAAATTGCTAAGATATAGTTAGATTAAACTATAGCTATTTGTGAATGTAAATAACATTGCTAATTGAATATATATGTTATTATTATTGTTATATGTAATAATATATCACACTTATACTAAACATTACTGATAGTAATCTGTTTTCTGTGCTTAATAAATAAGTAATAGAGCAGCGCAGGACCGATCGTCGTGGAGATCTTTGGGGGAGGCCTATGTCCAGCAGTGGACGTCTTCCGGGCTGCGATGATGATGATGATGATGTTTATTTACAGCGCGCGTGTTCCGCTCCTCGCCGCAGTTCGGCGTGACGCTGGTCACGTATGAAATATTGCAGCGTTTGTTCTACGTCGACTTTGGTGGATCGTAAGTAACGTTTTTATATATGTTTTAATTAATTATAGCCCAGGTGGCTGTTGTTTTGTCTAGCGGTTTAACACACCGGTTGTTTACTATTTTAATAAAAACCAAATACGTAAAAATATTCTTCCCAAAAGGGCTCACAGCGATTCAAAAAATATGTAATTCGTCAAAAGTGACGATTAAATAGAAAAAATGTTTAATTCTGATAGTTTTCGATTCAAAATTTCGTCGATTAAATAGAAAATTGCTAGAATTGCCTCCTTTTATATAAGTCAATTAAATTAACCACGCCGTCTTAATCATTATCTAAATACTTTTAAAATGATATATATAATGATATATATAATATAAGATAATACTTTTGTGTAAATTTAAAACAAAAATTAAATAAAATAAATTTAAAAACTTTAAATGCTTGTCTTGTAAAAAATGTACATTTTGAATATTGTCATTTTTCTATTTAACCGATGATTAGTATTCATGAGTATGATCGTTTGTATCGATCTGAGCATTTTCTATGTATTATATTTTTAATTCATACATAATGTATGAATTAAAAAAAAATCTATCTATTTATATCGGTTGTCTAGTACCCATAAAACAAGCGCTGCTTACCGTGGGACTAGATGGCGCTGTTATAATTGTCCAGTTATTTATTTATTTATCTACTCAAAGGTAGTCTAGAAGGAATTGCTTACAGATAAGGCCGCCTTTTGTGTTAGTTCATGTATATTTGATATATTAATTTTTCCTATGTTTGATATATATTTTAATTGGCTAGTCGCCCGGTGTACTCGTATTATACATATAAACCTTCCTCTGAATCACTATTAAAAATAACCGCTTCAAAATCCGTTGCGTCGTTTTAAAGATTTATGCATACATAGGGACGGACAGACAGCGACGGCGACTTTGTTTTATACTATGTAATGATTATTTTCTGTGTTTTGTGCAATAAACAAATAATAAATGATCTAATTACTTTACAGTCGGCCGACGGGATCAGAGTTACACGTAGCGACACCTATCGAGGAAACTAAGAAGAAACCGGACCATATTGGCGGGTACGAAGTAGCCATGCCAGTCCTCACCGGCTTGGAGACGAAGTTCGGCATCTCATTACCAAGGTTCTCAAGCTCTAGGACACAGTAATAAATACATATTATCCATAGACACGTTGAATCTCTAATGGACCTCATTTGTCTATTCATGATTTGTCTCTTTCTTGTACAGCTTGATAGAGGGAAACAAAACATTCTAACATCAAAAGAAGGTTTATTAGACGTTTAACAGTTATGTATAATATAGTTAGAAATATTAATAAGGTTCAGTTGAACTAAAGGAGCTTTTTTTAAATAAATTGAGAATACGCTAAGCGTTTCTCACTGAGAATATTGGAAAACGAGTTGTACTCGTATTTTGAGAATTATTGAAGAGTATAAATTTTCCAACACGGCTTAATTTAAGGCACCTCGCTCATTTTAAATCTAATTATTTTCAAAGCAATAACATCCTTGTGTTTAATAAATTATTTGATTATTAAATAGCAATCGTCGCTCCGATTTAACAGTTATATAATATATATACTAACTACTAGTAAGTATATATATACTGTATATTTCTCAAAACAAAGACAGCATATAGCCTGTTGGCAAATATAACGTGTTATATTCCTATAAATTCGATAATAAGATTTATAACCAAATCTTGGATTTACTCGGCTTATTCTATACATTAATATGCATGTATTATACATAAACCTTCCTCTTGAATCCCTCTATTTGTTGTTGAAAACTACATTAAAATCCGTTGCATAATTTAAAAGATATAAACGAACATAATGCGGGGCGATTTTGTGATCTATGCATCTATTAAATTAATTTTAACACTTCTAGCTTTAAGCTATTATATTGTTTTCTGAAAAGTAAAGAATATAGTTTCTGATAATAACACGTTTTATTAGTAAGCAAGCAATATACAGTCTTTATAGTCAATAAGTTACTTTTCTATGCACTGCCATTCAGCATTCTGACTGCAATTTAATTTGTATACTTATGTATGATTTGTGTAATTTTGGATATGAAACCTAAAATGGACAATGGCTATATGTGATACATAATATTGGGTAATGATTCATTGGTACAATTTGTTGTCTGTATAATGGTAACACTATTGTTTTCTACCATTTAGTAGAATTTTATACGATTCCATTTTAAAAAAAATGTGTTCATTACAGTCCGGAGCTTGATTGGTTGACTTGTCATACATAATAACGTATTATTTAACATTTTTTATTAGAATCACTATAAGGTTTACGTCAGAGTAATAAATCATTAGACAGCACTCAAATTTTAATGTGAATTTTACTATAATTTTATTACTAAATAAAAAAAAACGTGAGAGATAACGGAAGATATATTTTGAAACAAGAGCAACAGAGAAGGTTGTGTTTATTACTTTAGATATTTATTAAATTGTATTACGGTATTACTTTTAGTGTAACTAAATAGCATTGTCTAATAATAAGTGGAATATATTAGGACCTTTATTTTAATACAGTACATTTGTTTAAATTATACACAGCTAAAACTAAAATTATCTTAAATCTATACAAAATAAATATAAAACATAAATTATTAATATCCATAGGCCATACATACATAAGGTTTGTTCTAAGGGCATACCAAGCCTAAAGCCAGTAATACTGTTATCAAAACTTTAACCAAAGAAGCAAAGACTGAAATTAATATTTAAAAAATTAATAGTAACCGTGATTACATGATCATTGTAATATGAACAATTCAAAATGTATAATTAATTTTTTGATGATTGTGGTTCAGTATCATCTGTATTCTACCTGGCTTTTGGTTACCCTTTAGGAATATCACTTATATTTTATGTTTATTTCGAAAAAAACATATTACAGCACCAAAGGCACGTTATTTACTGATTATTTTAGTATTGCATATCTATGTTGTAATTTCGACTGAATTTTTTTGTGAATGTGGTTCAGTATCGTCTGCAGTACTGCTACTTGTATTCTACTTTGCTTTTGGTGTATCCTTTACGAACACTTATGTCATGTTTATGTTAAAAATACCTATCACAGCACTATGAGTATTTTAGTATCATTATGTTTGTCTCTTTGTCTTCTTACTATCCAAACCTAAATAATTTATAAAAGAACTATTATTATCCTAAAAAAATAAGAAATAACTTGTACAGTTTAGAATAATCAAATAAACACTGTATGTTTATGGTTCTAAGATATACATATTTAAAAGTAACCGGCGAGCTTGTATGAATATATTGATGGGTGTCTCTGAATAGGCGCATTTCTTGCTACGGGAGATGGCGTGATGTTTATATGTATGTAATATACAGCACTATATGTGATAATGTAAATAAACGTATGTAAACACTCTGGAAAAACTGTGTCTTTGATGAGTTTTACAATTGCTACGCACGTTATAGCATGGCGCTGGTGACAGGCGTGAAATATAATGTCGTTGAGGATTGTACTAAGAGGTAGCATATTTACTTAAGTTAGGTTACCAATAGTATGCCTTTTCTCATTACTGACCTTCAACCAATTTCTGTTCTTACCCAATGGTTAGCTGGTAGAGAATGCCATATGGCATTAAGCTCACCAATTGTACATTATTTTAGATAATGCAATAAAAGATAAATAAATAAAAAAATAATAGCATTGGAAAATACGTTACGGTTTTTGAATAAACATTGCAGTACCACAAAATCTAGCAAAAACCATATTAAAGCTAAATGGTATAAATGTTGCATCAAGAAGTACAATACCTATAATAGTTAAAACTGATTAAAAATATAATTTTTGTCAACGTTTAGAATATTTGCTAAAACAAACTATATAATAATATATTTGTGGTATTTGACTAATAGGTTCAAAGAACCTAAAAAAACCATTTAAAATAGTTCTATTAAATAAACTGTCACCTGTACCATACTACTGCGTATAATCCATATAATTCTGATTTATCTGTTTCTAGTTATATCCGAAAAAGTCCATTAGTGTTTTTAACTTGCGATGTTCAATTTAATAGGTTTTAATGTTGTTTTATTAGTTATAAGTTGATTTTTATAAATTTTAATTTCAATATCAATCAAGTACTGTTTATAAAACTTAAAATCTATGATGATATCAAAACGTTACCTGTTGAATATGGAACCTTATTGTCACTGGTATAAAATTGTCTTTTAAATGGATATATGTCGATTTATTACTTGATTGTTAAAAGGTAATATGACCAAGAAGCTATTAATATAACGGCAAAATACATTGTCTCTCGGCAAAACAATATTCCTACGTTGAGAAGATTCTCATGGAAATTTACTTTAAGACATTTATGTACTGTATAAGTATAAATATTTTTTATTTATTGTATATGCTTTTTTAAGAGGTCCTAAAAAGACAAAACATGGCATTAGTGTATGCAGCGAGTTAATTAGTGTCTAAATTCTAATGTTAACTATTTTATTACTGTTTAGAATTCCTCAATAGTAAGCATATATATTAAAAAAATATAAACCTTTTTACGTTTTTAGGGTTGTTATAAACTCGGAATGTGTATAATGTTATTTGTTCTTACAAATTTTTTTATAACTTAAATTTTGATTTGTAATCAATAATTTTATTTAAATAAATAATAGTTAACCATTATTTTATTTGATATCTGCAACGCCATCTGACTTTGCTTACTTCATTTATTTGACACTAGTTGGCATTGTGAGATGGTGAGTATAATTATATATTGTTCTAAGCTTGCTAACATGTATTGTATTATTTAATACAAATTCATAAAACAAGAATGTCGGGAAAATAAAAATGCAATTTAAATGTTTATTAACACAAATTCTTACACACATTCTTATATACACAAAACTTAATTTTGAAATTCTCTACACGATTCATAAGTACAAAACAAATGAAAAGTGACTAATTAATTATATTTCCTATATTAATATTGTATAAAAAAGATAATTTTGATATATTTATGTATGTATTAACAAACATGTATGTATATAAAAATATATGTAGACATATCACAGTGAATATTCGATGATGTATGGACAATGTCAGTTTACGGTTGCGGAGTAGATAGAGAATAACAAATTTAACTATATAGGTAAACAATTAACTTTATTCCATTCAAAAACTAAATAAGCACCTTCTAATAAAACGTTAATGCTGACATTTGATTAATTCATAGGCTACAGGGTCATGACACATGATTCCTTAAGAATAGCATTGAGGAGTACAGCTGGCGTCACATGACGAAGTTATATCCGTAGTGCAAATCATGTATATAGGCGACAGTTACAACTTCCCAATGCCAACTGCATTGGTAAATGATAGGAAGTCAAAACTATTACATTAAAAAAAATACACAACTAAATATAAAATCTATTTTTGGCTACTAACACTTGCTCGATGTTTATGCAAATTGCAACACAGTATACGTAAGAAATAGCAGATAGCTAAAAGCCGATAATGATTGTTCGATGGTGACATATAGCATTAAAAAAAAACAAGACCATAGTGAAATAAGAGTTTAGATTATGAAATTAAATCCAATTTACATTTTGCGAAGTGATCGCTTAAAAATTGCAGTTGAACTGTTAATAGTTCTCCTTTTTTGGGAATAGCTTAAAATAGGATTTTATCATAATTACTATGCCATAGATGTATAGATACTGCTTAAAATTGACATGACCAGGAATATATATCTGTTCCATGTTAAAAAATGTGCACCCAATTTTAATCTCTTGTCTAGACTAGGTATAAAATTATTAATTTCATTCAAAGTTTTTTAGCAATAACCCTTTTTAACACCTAGTAACTAGTCGAAAGCGCTTTTTATTTCTTGCAAATACAAAACACATTCCAATTTCTATTTAGTACTGCCTGATATAATTTTTTACTGAAGTTTGTATCCATTCATAGTAGTGTTAAGGAAACAGGCGAATCCAGGTATAGAGAATGGAAAAGTAAGGTTGTATTTATATTTCGTGTTTTCGCAGGAAAATCAACAAAAGATTTTTCTTAACCCTACACACACACTACACACTACCCTTTAATAAAATACTGGCTAGGCCCGAAGTGGTGACATTACGTACAGGGGAAAATACTAAAAACTATACAAGAGTCCATATAACGACTTTAGAATAGTTTTTAATTTATAATTAAGTCCAAAAGATTGATTGATTTTACATAAATTGGATAAGATTAAAATATAATTAGAATTTATTATTTTACTGATTATTTAGAATAAATTTACATTTGAAATTTTCACAAAACAGACACTTTGTTTGAAATCTTTTATTACGTATTTGCATAAACATAATTATAAATGCGTATTCAAACAATATTACAGTACGACGCAATTTAATCCTACACAGTGGGTAGGTATCAAATGGATGTATAAAAAAGCGCCTGTTCTATTTTTACTCCTAATTAAAAGTAATAAAGACAAAATTTTTAGTTGGTTAGAATATTTTCAATCGTACATTTTTTTCATAAAAAGATAAGTACTTAATAATGACATTAATTCTTAGATGTACCTACCCCCTTTGAAATATTGATTCTAACAAATTTACCTATAAATATATGATTTGGACTGTGCCAGATGCATACAAATATCGTTGATTTATAATGTTAACTATTTTTTTCATTGTATAACCAAAAACAATAAAACGATTTCAAAATTATAAGAATATATATCGTTATTACTTTTATTTTTAATTTAAGGGCTTCGACTTCCTTCTTCCTTCTTTAGTCCTTTGTCATTCCAATTCCATTTCTTCTTTTGTTGTTTAATCAAAGCACTCCCAACATTCCTTCCAGTATGTAATTTTCGATATTTCACAAAAATTTATGCATCTAAGCGTATTTAAATCTTTCACCTATATGCCTATATTGATAAGAAATCAGAGTTAAATAAAAGTCATTTTATCCTATACTCTGCGGATTACCATTTCCATAAATGCACAATTTTAATGTTTAATATGACTTGTCTATTTGTATTGTTATTATAAGCAATCGTGTTGTATAACAACATTGTATAAATAGGTGTAACGACAAGTGATAGAGCCGATGTGACCATTATATTTATTGATATTGTACATTTTTGTGTTAAAAATAAATCTAATAAAGTTTATCTGGTGTATTATTCTAACTTGTTAATGAATACTAGGTACCTTTTAAGTGTTAAGGATTATGTTATCTGTGGTTAAGGTTAAGTAAATACTTCCAGTGTTGAATTTCTTAGTGCACAGAGTGTAACAAAAACTGCTAGCTTTTCCAATCCAATTTTTAAAGCCCTACTAATTACTGAAGTGGTAAAAATTAAATAATACACTATATATTGTAGGTTTTCATTTATTTTATTAATATATATTCTAGCATTTACTTTTAGTTTGTACTATCTCGTTACGCGGTTACTTATACTTAGCGGTAGAAAAATATCTCAAAAACAGCATTGAAGAATTTTTGAGTTTGCCGTTTATTTGAGCTATTGTACCAGAAAGGTACAACAGCTATTATCCGCCATATTATCTGTTTTTTTTTTAATAAACTACATTCTCTGTCCGTCCTTGTGATAAAATCTCGATTCACATTAAATTTCATTGATCCTTTCAGACTTTTTAGTTGTGAAAAAGTAATAAACAGACAGACAGGCAGATACACTTATTTTTTTATACAAACTGTTAGTAGCGTTCATATTAAATTAATAAATTCATGGAACAACGAGCTGGAATTAAATAAAATGTGTAAAGTGGCCTACACTTTATTACATTCGAAGTTCACAGGGTCTAACTTGCAACAATTCTGAAGAAAACTATCCTACAATAATTAATTCTAAGTACTGTTAGGAATTAATGATATAGCCTCCGCTAAATAAAGCACGGATTTGTTTAAGATATCATAGAATTAATCATTAGTCTTCTTCATATAAAACCAGTACATTTATGGTACTATGACGTACGAGGGGACGCGTAATGGTAAGCGGTATCGCTGGAGTAACGCTCTTTCGATATGCGAGTCATATTTTATAAGGGCAAGCAAATAAAAGGGTTACACTTTAATATGCTTTAGTGAACTGAGAGTGTTTTTCAGGGCCTTGATTTTGCTAATTCTTATTACTCATTGTACAGTGGGTTGCCAAATTAATAGGGACAGTCACGAAATATTCGTTTTTTGTAAAATATTGGTCTATAATTAATTAAAAACGTCACTTTAGGCTATAATTATATTTAATAATATCAGACACATATCTTATAATGAATTTAGACTATAATAATTTAATATTTGAACAACTAGAAAATATAAACAAGCATAATAAAAATGATGATGGGAAATTATTAGTATTTTGTCACATTTCCTTTTGCTAATATCAGTGCTTGAATCCGCCTCGGCATACTTTCAATACACTGTTTAGCACTTTCTTTTATTTTGCGATTGTGAAACCATACATTTATTAATTTTTCAATTAGTTTTACTTTGGTAGTTATGATTTCCTTAGCAATTTCCGCCTTGGTAATTTCCCACAAGTTTTCTATGGGATTCATATCAGGAGAATTGCCAGGCCAAGGTAAAACTGGAATGTTGTGGTCTTCCAAAAATTTGGTTACACTCCTCGCTTTATGACATGGAGCTGAATCGTGCATAAACACGAATTCCTCCCCATTCGGGAACCATTCCTGAAGTTGCGGCAACAGGCGAGTTTCTAATACTTGCTTGTATTGGTCCTGTCTCATGGTTCCCTGGACGATATAGAGGCGCCCAACTCCTTTTGCGCTGATGACAGACCATACCATTATTTTTACAGGGTGTTTAATTCGTTCCACTATGTAATCAGGATGACATTTCTCGCCTGGGCGCCGCCTCACGAAGTTACTTTTGTTGGCCAGAATTTCAAAAGTTGACTCGTCTGAGAAACATACCTAAAAAAATATAGAAACTATTTATAATTTTTGTAAATATGATTTTATATAACACAAATAAAATTAACCATAGAACTGACCTTATTCCAGTCTTCAACAGTTTTCAGGCGGTGCTCACGAGCCCAAGCAAGCCTTTTCTTTTTCATCGCCTCTGTTAATCGGGGTTTCTTAACTGGACGATGACCTGTCAGGCCTTCCTCTGCCAACCTTCGCTGTACAGTTCTTTTTGAAACACGTATTCCAGATTCCTGTACTATCTGAGTTAAAAATCCAGCACTTTTCTTTCTGTTTTGCAAGCAGATATCTCGAATTTTCCTATCGGAACGTGTTGTTGTGATACGTTTTCTGCCACATTTGCCTTTTCTTTTGGGCGAAAGTGGCTGATTTTGATCTAAATTTATTTTTATTTTATTGACGGCAGATTTCGATATCCCGGCCAGTTGTGCTATCATCCTCTGAGAGTGATTTGTGTGTAGGAGAAGGGTTTTAACCTCGGATTTTTTTCTCGGAGTCAAATCTACCCCTCGACCCATAGCCAAAGCTGAAAATATAAAAATAAATTAAAATTGTTCTAAAATCCGCTCCAAAATACTTTAATTTTAATTATAGTAAAATATTACTTACTTGCAGGTATTGATTATTTCACAAAACCACTAAAGAACTGTTTAAAAGAATAATTTACGTGTTTCACTTTTACACGTGTGAACGACTGTGTGTCTCTCCCGTCATTAAAATATATTTCCAAAATAAACAAATCTCTCAGCACTTGAAATTCACTTTGAATTTGAGTTATAGAGACAAGGTGAACATAAAAACATATCAGCAAAAAACTTTTACCACTTAAAAACGTAGTCAAGACCACTTGAAGAACAAAAATTATAAAAAATGTGACTGTCCCTATTAATTTGGCAACCCACTGTAATGCAGCGCTAGTTATAAAAGGTTTAAAGTAATAAATAAAAGAATAATAAATAATATTTATTACTATCAAAACAAATCATACACTGTTCAAAACAATGTCTCAGAAAACAGAGGAAATTGATACAAATACCTGAAATAGGCAGAGCTTTACAAAAAAAATTAAATTCCATAATATAAATTATTAGGGTCGATTCCGCCTATACCTAATCTAAATTAATCTATAATTATAAGTTGCTAGTTTACAAAAATTCGAATTTAATGTAGTAAAAATAAATTTATACAACTTTTATTTAATTCATAATTTTAAAGACTAATTTAGAGTTCTCTTTCAGAATCGACTCTGGCCTATTATGATATTAAAAAAATAACATAATAATGAGTAATAGTATAAACATATAGTAGAAAATTACTAAATTAATTTATAATATATTTTGCTAGTTTACCAAAAATATCATTTCACCATCACGAATTAATTAAAGATATGTTTAAATAATTTAAAGCACAAAAAAGAGAATATTACATACTTTAATGATATCAAAGTAATAATTTATCTGTGGTAATAAAGCCATATGATTTTGTAAAGTAATTTAGAATTACATTTCATAATTGACTCCATTGCCCATTTTCTTTTCAATAAAATAAACATAGTAGATAAGAAACTCAGTAGAAATATAAATACTCAATAAATTAAGTAATTAAAATAGAAACAGAAATTTGAGACAGACGACGTAAGCACCGATCGATTTGTATGAAAACATGCGTCACTATTGAACTTGACGATATAGTAATTATTTATTGATGGCAAACCATACTACACCATCCATACTAGTATTATAAATGCGAAAGTGTATCTGTCTGTTTATTCGCTAAACAAAACTGACAACGTTCTATCGCAAAGGGATGAACTGCAAAACATAAAATACGAAGAAACCAATATTGCATACATAATATTACACATCTTGTGCCCAAAAATTGCTTGTATTCATTTATCACACATCTTATGGCGTTTGCCTAGGGTATTCGAATAAAAAAAAGGTCCAATATGCAGCAACTATTAACCCATATAGACCCATATTTTGAGATACAGAATGAATGATTATTCCAGGAACAGTGTAGTTCCGTTTATATACCACTAGTGTACTATTGTCAAGTGGCATGTCGTAGAAAAAAACAGAAAATAAAGGGTTATAATCGTTATTTCAATAAAATTAAACGTAATTTCATATATTAATTATAACATAAATAAAAATTAAATCAACATAAGTTTTTGACACATTCTTCTTGATGTTCAGGGTACACTTACAAAAATTTTTGTGAAACACTTATAAAATATAAACACAGACTTTTGGCAATTCAATCTTGTGAGGTGATAATTGGAAAGCTACTGCCTATTAAAAATAAATAAAAATAATAATTCTACTAAATGAAGATTCTCTAAAAATAAATGTTGAGTACAGTGTGATAATTCATCTTTTTATACAAAGTACGGTAAGTAGTGTACGGTATAGGACCATCAGCAAAAAATAGACCGTGGATTAGATTATAAAAATATAATATATTTTTTTCTTTCTTAATTTATTGCAACCGTGAAAGAGACGGTAATATACAACGCTTTATATGGAAATGTGTGAGTTTGAAGTGCGGGACAGTGGAAGACAACAATCGTATCCAATTCGTATTATAATTGCTGACGATACTACAACATCGATAAGTTTGGAATTATTTGATCGAGGCCTATTATTTCCTGTTTCTATCAAAGCCCTCATGCGCAGTGCAGAGTCACGGCGAGGAGGCAAACCAGCGTATTTGTATAATGGTAGATACGCACTCTTTCCTTTCCACTAACTTCTATGTAACAAATGTTTGTGTAATGCTTGTTTCACTTGAATAACATCATTGAAAGATCCAAAAATATCGCATAGTAACACGATCGCTGTCATGGACTGCAATGACGTCGCAAATACCGCAAATTAGGTAGCTATATAAAAATGTTAGAAAAACTTGTTAGCAAACTTTATGCCTTAATCCTTTGAGACAGAGTCTATGTTTGATTTGCCACAATTGCGAATATAGGTTTAGAGGGGTCACAGGCACGTTTTACGCTTTAGGACAAGACGTAGGCTCGTGAATATGTAGATGCAGATGCGATATCTATCTATGGTCTGTGTAAAAACATAACGGGCTAATTAGAGTACAGTCACAGCTGTTATTTACTGTTAAACTTCACCAAAATTCGTGTGCATAGTTTCTTTAGCGTGTTTTTGAGCTTCCACTTGTCCAGTTAAATATTTTTCACACACCATGCATTTAAGTGTAAATTTATTAAGATCTGTAAATTGGCGCGATGATTTCGCTTCATGAGCAAGTTGTTCCGCTTCCCTGTAGATATCCATGTCTTCGGCTGGAAACACAGTTTGGATTCCGCCCTGAAAATTATTTAATAATAGTTCTTAATAATTCTACTTGTTCTAATATGCAGCTTTATAAAAATTTCTAGTTAGATATTGCTAAGTCGTCGCGTGGGTACCTCAGTCTACTTCAGCTACCAAGTGGCTTGCTTTGTAAGGTATATTCCAATTACAGGTTGCGAAAATGCAGTGAAATTACGTATAAAGATAAGAGACATGATTTTAATCCTCCAGAAATGGTATTATAGGCATTACATGATAATGTGAAATCCCTGGTGCAGTTTGTGTATACAGGTACTTCTTGGGAAATGGTTACCACAGCCTGTATATATGAACAGCACCACAGACATCTATCTTTAGCACTAACACTGAAGATCGAAGTTAGCATTTTTTGTATACATTGGAATTACAATCGTCTCTTTTATATTATTACTAGCTACTCGCCCCGGCTTCGCACGGGTGTACATGAATTATATATATAAACATTCTTCTTCAATCACTCTATCTATTAAAAAAAAACTGCTTCAAAATCTGTTGTGTAGTTTTGAAGATTTAATGATGCATAGGGACAGACAGACAGTGACAGCGACTTTCTTTTATACTATGTAATGATAATACAATTGTATAATGACACTTACATCAGACTGTTCTAAATATAATGGATCATAGTGCACTCCGTCAAATAAAAGAAATACCCTCTGTCCATAATTTTTGTCTTCACCAAATCTGTTGATTATTGCATTTGATGTGTCTACTACAGCCATCTCCAGACCATAGAAACGAGATAAAATTGCTACCTGAAATAATAATGAAATTAATTATAATAATTATATGTATCAGTAATAATAAATATCCTATGAATATTAGAAATGAAAGTTTATGAGTATGGATGAAAAGATGGATGGATAGATATTTGTTTTTCTTTCACACAAAAACTACTGAATGGATTTTTATGAAACTTTACAGTAATATAGCTTATATATTAGAATAAAATACCAACTTCACTTGGTGGAAGCCATTCAAATTAAAAGAAGAAAAAGACTATAAATTAGAATTTCTTTCGGGAGACTCTGCAGGCACAGCTAGTCATTAATAATAAGAATTATTTCTAATATTTTTTGCGATTAGTGTAAGGTTTTATAAGGTGTAACATATTGTCTAAAATGCATCACTGATAAACAAAAATAATATATTCGTCATATATTTACATTTTAGTATATGAAATATTTAGATGTTACTGAACTGGCTACACAACTGCAGGGATCTGGGAGTCTAAGGTTCACTCATCTTATGACATCCAAGTACTAGTGAAACGTTTCACAGACAGTGCCTGAGAGCTGACTCATTGTACCAGCCTCATCAATTGAAAGGAATGCAAACAATTTAATAAAAAGGATTTCTTATAATTAGGTTCAATATAATGGGGTTGATATGTTTGGTAACAAAAACTCCATCAATATTTATAATAGAAAAAGAAACTAATTTAAACATACTTCTATAGCTCCTCCCCACGAACTGGGCTGTTGTATCCAAACACAGTATTCAGCATTTGGCCGTCCGAGCATTCCCTCACTATACATCTCTTGATCACTTGCTACCTCCATTGCTATAATTTGACGCATCATTGTGTGTACTGTAGTATCTACACTACCATTTAATACAAAACCTGAAAAACATAAGAATTATTGTTATGAATTTTTTTTTATAGAGTATATGACAGTGTATTCTTCTTATTTTATATATTCTAGACAGAACAGTTGTGGTCATTATGTAGTAGAGTGAAAGGCAGACATCATCCGCCTTACAACATCTTGCCTGCTTGCTGCCATTCATAAATGCCATCTGACAATAATATTTAATTAAGTATTGTGTTTACTATCCTATTAAATTAATCAATTTAGTAGTCACTAAGATATATTCATAGAAATTGATAACCCCATGCCATAAAAGAAGATAAACTTAAAATCAACATAAAAAAGTATATTTTTTTTAGTTTTCACACTCCATTCTGGTACACTCATAGAGTGAACATGAGAGTGTATAGGTTAATAATAATAAATTTATTATTTGTATTATTTACTTATAAGAATGTAAAATATATACATACAACAACCGGTAGTAGTCAAACTATTGCCAACAACAACATATGAATAATAAACATATTTAAAATATATTACAAAAATTTTGCAATAATAATATATGTTTGAAACATATATACTGTTTGTATAATACATTTAAAAAATTATTTCTCAATCCCTTTAAAGTCATTTACTTTTAATCAAAAACAACTAGTATTCTTAAATTGACCCAACATATATAGTATAACTGATAATATGCTGATTACAAACAAAAAAAAAGTAGATATGACATTAGCTATAACTTTAGTTGAATAAACTTTGTTTATTTCCACTTCTAATAGGACAATGACTTAGTACATACATGTTAGAGCATGTCTGTCAACCTCACTGTGAATAAATATGCTATTCTATCATTAATATACCAAAAAATGGATATAATTTACCTATACTAGTAAAGAGACATGAATTGTCTGAGGGGACCACTTTCTTCATTAGTATACCAGGCCTGCAGGGCCCAATTGTTTCGTGTGAAAGCACGCCATTCTGCACAGGCTTGGCGGGCTCACTAGGCTGAGGTGGAGCTGTTGGAGGCGCCTTCTCTTCAATAATCAAAGTTTCTCCTGTTTTTAAACCTATATCACTTAATTTTTTATTATTATCACTCACGTCAATAGGTTTCGGTGGATAGCCACATAGCACACAAAGTCTCTCGCAACTAACGTCCGTTAAACTAGACAAAAACATTTTTAGATCACCCACTGTACTATTAGAGGTCAAATCTTTTAATATCTGTTGACCATTTTTACTTTTCACTTTAAACGCTAAAGCGGCCATTTTAATTACTATTAATTAATTACAGCCAAGTTTGAATATTTTACTTCAAAATTAGAAATGTTTAAATTTTAATCAGGTCAATTATGAAAGACGCCAAATGAAATAAATAATTTTTGCAATGCACGAGTTTTGACTTTTTAAAAAGTGACAGCAAAACAAAATGACATTGACAACCAGAATATGAAGTTGCCATCTTTATTATTTAATTAATAAAATTAAGTGTGTCACAGATCAAATAAAATAAACGGTTTTTATCGATAATAGAGTAAACAATTTGAGGCTAAAAAAAGATGGCTCATTCTACTATAATTTTATATTGTGTTTTGGAAAAAAATAATGCTTTTTATTCATTATTTTAAATTTCTTGATTATATTTTTAACATTTTCTCACATGTTTACATGTGCGAGACTAAGTTACGGTACACAGCCTTGAATAATACTATAGTGATTATTAATTATTATATCGAAGAAACGCTTGTAATCATTAGGAATTAGGTAACCAAAGACGTCAAGTCAAAGACTATCGATGATGTCATCTGGCTACATAGTTTGACCGCAGTTATGACAACAAATAGTAGATATTCGGCCACATTATGACTAAACTAAATCCTTATAACCCGATAATACAGATTTTTTTCTGCTCTGGTATATGATTGTGGTATAAGATACATGGATTCTAACCATTTTTAAATCAATAGCATTTTAATAATACACAAGAATGAGGTTTTTATCATTTTAATAAAAATAACGATCCTACATTATAAATATTATTATAACTTAAATCAGAAAACATTAACTTACTTCTCATTAGGTAGGTAGGTACATAATAAATATAAATTTTGGCACACTGACATTTTAACTTATTACCTAACAGCAGAATTTGAGACAAACTTACATGTAATTCTTTTAAGTGAAGCTACTAAGGTAATGTTTAAAATGTATCAGTAGAGTAGTTTTATTCTTTCAATTTCGGATAAAATGGTAACTAGGTACATCCTTATCATCATACAACTATGCAATGTATAGTAATATTATAGAAATCGAGAGACAGAGCAGCTATTATTACGATGAAAGTAAACACCAGAACAACTGCACTCATTTGAGAAATTCTGTCATCGTTTGATCCACATATACCTTAAAGTTATATTGGCTATACATATATCGTACAACAATACTTATAAAGAAATAAGCACCTGGGCGAAGTGACCCTGGTCACTACAAATTATAGACCGATGTTTACGTAAAAACTATATGTTACTGGGGGATACGAAAGAAACTCTATAACAGTACATTTACGTTAGTTTCTTAATTATTTATTAAAAATATAAGTTCAGTTTTAATCAAGCCTGTAGTCATATGGATAATTAGCCCAGTCTATTCACTTTATTTTTCGTCACTCTAGGAATAATTGAAAAGGATATCTTCGTCAATAAAAAATATAAAGGAAATCACATAATTTATTTGCCTAAGAGTAGGTACCTGTACCTGTACAATGTACATTAGAACTATCGAAACATTCTTATTCGATATGAACACCTAATTTCAAACGACAAAATCCATTCACATAGGTACTTTTACTTAATGTTACATATTGTCTCATTATATTAATTCTAATTGTGCTATAAATGCATTTATTATACAGCGTAATTGAAAGATTATAGCTCTTCCATAAACTAAAATCAATAAGTACAAAGTAATAACATTTCTAGGTATTTTATGAGCAAGTACTAACTTTCCTTACGACTGAAACAGATTTATTACGATTTTAAGTAATACATTTATAATTAGATATGTATCTTAATAAAATGGCATGCATTTAATGAACACTGCATTTGTTTAGTTACAGTATTATTATATAATAATATTAGACGCTATTGATATTATGGCACTGTCATAACAAGTGTAGGAATAACATCAAAATTACTTAATTAATAATTGTACTTACTTAAAAAACGAGTAAAACTATAATTCTATTCTTTGGTGACAGAATTACACTAACGGTTAAATATATATGCTTAGTGTACCTTAGTACGTTACCTACGTACTCATTTTTAAAACGGTCGCAATCAAATGCGCAAGATATCAAATTGGAATTGATTAATGTCAAATGCCACAGAAATGTAAATAACAAAATATATGTAATCTTTTAAATAAAACTGTCATGAAAGGCATTCTGATTGGTTTTCATTGAAAATCAGTCTGCGGTAGGTAGATAGTACGTCTACGTACCTGCCTTCATTTTTTACCTACAATGAGTATTATGCCGATATCGATCTCTATTAAATTAAGTATTGAACCTTAACCTAAGCTACAAATAATTTATTTACATTTCATTTCAGTCAAAAAATAATTCTTAATTTGATTTCAACAACAACACACGTGGTCTCGTTTTATATGCAAATGCAAATACTAATTCACTTACATGAATTTGAATATTATTTAAACTCAATTAAAAAATGAATGCTACAAATCAAATTGCGCATAATAATTATCGGTAAATACCGATTCAAAAGATATGTTTAAAAAGTGGCAACACTCAATTTTTAATAACCGATACTACTGTTATATTTTTAAATACCGATTCAAAAAGGACCTTTTTCCGATCGGAACCGAGTATGTGTGTTACGATGTGGTCGCCTGTGCCTCGGATGCCGGGGTAACGGCCACCGTCACGTTGGTCTCCTTACATATCGCAATAGGGGGGCGCGTAACCCTCTCCTCCCCACCACTAATGGAGGCATCCGTTCGTCTTCTTCTTCCTCGTCTACATCTTCACCACCTTCAGAGTTGTCTTCCTCGCTGGATATTTCGGGTTTCACTGCTTGGTATGATGCAGAGAAACCTTTGAAAACTATAGAATCATCGGTACGGAATCTCACGAGAAGAGCTTCAGTTGTAGATATAATTTCTGTAGGCAACTGAAAAAAACATACATAACCTATTATTAACTATGAAGTTTCTTAATCACTTATCGCTGGCGGCAAATAACAATAACAAATTATATAAATAGATTCAGAGCGTATTTTTTGTGGTATGCTGTTTTAGAATGTTACTCAAGGGAAACATGGATCAAGTGCCTCATGTGTGGGCTCTGGCCACATAATAACTGCGCTGGCTCCGAGTTTTATACCTGGATCTGCCATTTTTGTAAATAATTTGTATTCCTTTCTATATTATACGAAACTTTTTAAAGAGTCTCGTAGATGTTAAGGTAAATTTTTGATATAGTTTGTAGTATTCCATATTTGGAGTACCTATTCCATATATTGTTATTTAGTTTTTCTAAATTTTTCTTACCCCAAAATAATCAAATCAATATAACCTAATATTGTTACAAATTAAGTACACATATACCTATGACTGTTAATAATTACCACAAAAAGTTTTTTATTTATAAGATTTGACGAAACTATGCCTAAAAATCAAAATGGTATTCTATATTTGGTCACTTTGCTCTAACAAAAGAGGGCAGTAAGCTCGTCCTCTAAGTACAACTACATTTTCTTAGTTCTATCCGTCTCTTTTTCATATTTTTTAATTATTACTTATTCCGTAATATGCTTTATTTATTCGCATTTGTTTTAACTTGCTAACAACTTTATTATGCTTATTTTACTTATTCATTATATCAAATAATTTATTGTATATTTTTAATGCCATAGGATAAGAGACAGAACTATACATTTTTAACTTTGATGTGGATTGTAGATAATTTATTAATAATTGTGAATTAAACGTGATTTAATTGTGAGGTATTTCACTTAATGTTTTGAAGTTATTCAAATATATGAAAAAAATTATAATATAAATACATAAATTACATAGAATAAATAAAAATAAAAATGTTGAATTATATATATATATAAATATAAATTGTATATAAACTATTCCTAATCACACCTTAGTTCCACAAAAAGCACCATAGTCTCCACCACTTCCATCCAGACCACCAAATATCTGCACGTAGTCATAACCGCAGTTAGACTCGGGTTCCAATTCAAAAGTGAGGAAAGTGAGCTTCACGAACTGTCCCATTGGAGCTACGATGCTCCAATCGCAGTCAGCTCTAGACTCGTAAGAGTCATCTCCATAACGCGCGTGGGAGTACAAATGTTTCACAGATTCGGATGCTGCGAGGTAACCACCGCATGCTGATGACAGACAAAAAATATAATTTAATATATTTTTTATATCATATTTATATTTATTGAACAAAGGCTACTACTCACTAAACGATTACTGAAATGACAAACTTGCATGGCAATAGTTGTTCATGCACGGAATTTTGTTAGACATATAAATACACAATGTAATTAAAATGGCTTCTAAAAAAATCTGTTGAGTTTATTGCCTTTTTTTTAGTTTATCAGCCGCTCCATAGGTCTTTCCGCGGATTTGAAGAGCCGTCTACATTCATCCCCTATCGACCTGTGAAATAATTGAAAGTCCGCATTACGACTCCACGTTAGGTTCCCGCTTTTCTAATAAGCCTTGTAGCACACTATTCTATAAACTTAGTAATGTACAATAAATAGTACAATTATTCAATTTGAATACGTATACTCACTACCCAGAAGTTACAACTGAAACAAATAAATTAAGTAGCGACACCTCATATATCATAAAGAACGCTACAGTTTTGACTATAACCATCGCGCTACAATTAGTGTAAAGACCAGCTGCGGCGAACAGCATTAGAATAGTTAAAAAAAGTTTAATATAGTATAATAATAATAGCAAAACTGAACAATGAATGGAAACACTTAAATACACGCATAATACACCAAGACTCACAATCCTACTCATTAATACAAATGTATATATTGAACAAGGAATCGAAGCCGTGACCATCAGAAGCAAAGCGGTGTGCTGAACCGCTAGACCACCGAGGTCGTCGAGTCGTCAAATAAATTGTATAAAACTGACCAGTGGAATGCGTAGCCAAGAATCCTTTCCTCTGTACTGAAGCATCAGACTTGAATACGACGTACATTTGATTCTGAGATGCTACTACAGGATGTGGAAGCTTACTCCCGCAGAATCTGCCAAGGGTCTTCTCGTCTGCTGATGCTCCATCATAAATTGAGACATGGTCATAGGCGCATTCCTGAGAACATATACAAAATGGTCAGAACAATTCAACGGTCTTGTATTACCGTTAGCTTATAAGAGAGGATATAATCAACCTATATTACGCTGACCAAGTCGCTTGCTATAGGATTAATAATAATAATAATCTTCATTTGTCAATAAAACACTTTTATATTAATGATATAAGAACGAACCACACATTATTTTAAAAAATACTACATATTAACACACATAATATAAATTTAACCACATATATTTAAAAATACAAATCTGTATGGTGTGTTTAAAAATACCTTTAGACAAATTCGCAAATCGCGTTTGTTTAGGATGAAGTCTTTGGTTGAGGCCATGATGGCCGATTATTTATAATCAAGCGAATTCTATAATAATGAATCTGGACAAATCACACAGCGCCCTCTAATATTACAATAAGCAGAGCCTGCGTTATGTGTATTAGATAATTTATAGAAATACTATTTTTTTTTAAGAATATACATAGAGAACAAGTACCTAACCCTATTAGAAATCAATTATCATGAATATAAATTTTGGCATCGTGCGAGGAATAGAACGCGCGACCATTGGATGTAAGATGGTGTACTAACTCTAACTATCTCATCGAGGCATCAAATTGTTATGGTTTAAAAAAAAAGCGAATGTTGAAATGAAAATGGGTTTCCATACAAAGAAGAATAATTTTGTTGCAGTTATATAGCTTTATTGACGTCAGAACCGTGATGTTTCCATTTCACAAAATTGCCACAATTACCAATTGCGATCATTCATTCAATTCGTTTGCAAGACATTTTACTTTTTTAAATGCAATGAAGGATGTAATAAAGAAGTCTTGTTACTTACAACTTCATTTAAGAAAATAAATTCATTTAACGGAACGTTTCAGAATTTGATATATTTCCTTTAACGAATACACTTAAAGTTGAGTGTGCCATGCAAGTGCTAAATCTTTTATGTGCTTTTTTTCAAATAAGTATAGGTATATGAACTATACTACTTCTTCCTAAAAACCACCGCCTTTGTTTAATTATATTTACCAGGATAATAATAATAATAGAGTCCCTTCGGTCACAGGTTAATTAACCTGATTTCATACTTACGTTTTTTACCGGTGTCTCTGCATTGTAGAAAAATCGACTTTGCTTTATTTCTTTCGCTAACAGTTTTTTTTAACTATTCTAATGCTGTTGGGCGCCTCTGGCTAGCTTCACCGAATGATAGGGAGCGAGCTAGGGGTTCGAACCTCGGTTCATGCCGTTCTAATTATGATCCCCGTTTGTATTGGACGGGGTATCGATCGATTGGAGTGAATCGCACTAGACACATAAGTTTCGCACTTGAAGGACAACAAACATTCTATCATCCTCCACTGGAGGCTGCCTTCTAACTTATAATGCTAGCACATTTGAAAGTACTATTCCATTATCGTCCATTAAAAAAAAGTTTCGAACATAACTGATACTGTAGATAGTATAATGTATAAACTAAGTAGGTGTTCATAAAATACCTGATGTGGCTCCAGTTCAAATACATTAAAGATGAGCTTGATACGATGTCCAGGCGTAGTTGAGAATTGCCATACACAATCCTTTCTTGACGGGTACAAATCCGGGTAGTTTGGACTGTGTAATAAAAAGACAGACGAAAGAGGATTTTATTATATAATAATTCATTAAAAAAAATTATATGATATAAAACTTGAGAAAACAAGTTAAATTTTATTACAAAAATAATATCCCAATCATACTAAAATTAAACTTGGAACAGTCTTTACAAAAATGATAGTAAAATTTGAGTTTATTAATACTGTTTTTTTCGGTCATAGAAACTAAATATATTTAATTATTCAATAACAAAGTATCGTAGCTATACTAACTCTATATATTTTACACAGGTAGATTGTTTAATGACATCTTAGACCTCCAGAATGGTAAACATGAGCGGTGTCGTTGGCATCACATGATGACGTGATGTCCGCTTATGTACACAAGTACTACAATAAGTACTTCTTAAGTTAGTTGAAATTTAGTTTAATTGTAAATATTCTAGTTATGTATAGTTTAAGTTAGTAGTTACCCGGGGATTGTTGCCGGGCCACAGGGGCCCCGAGATCCCAACCTTGGCTTCGGGATAACCAGTGTCATTCAGTACTATGTAAGTGACATTCGCTTTTTACCGTTAGGTGAGCCATCAACTTGTTAGATATTTCAGTTACATAAAAATATCAACACAATATTTAAGCTCACCTTACAATAGTGCCATGTGGTTGAGCAACGTCATGTTTACAGCCGCCTTCCTTACAATCGTGTTTGTTGGGGTGCAGGGTGAAGCCACTGTGGCAGGCACACTCGTAGCCGCCCAGGGTGTTGTGACACTCATGCTGACATCCGCCATTGTTGTCGGCACATTCGTCCACATCAATGTAATACACCGCTGCGAACCCTGATCGATGGACGGATGCATCTGACGTGAACTGTAATGTAATATTTCATGTAAATGTGGGATTGGATAGGTTGATGCGTGAAGTAGAATGTTTCGTGAATGGGAAAGAGATATGATGCAATAAATGTCTCTCACAATCTCGTTCTGGTTTTTGGTTTCATCCGGTCTAGTGTCGTTCTCCATTATCTAAAAAAACTACCCCCCCACAAATCACTCTTCACTTCACCTCCCATCCATACTATATTTATGTTAAATTTAGCAATAATATAATACTATACAGGGTGACTCTCTCCGTACACTCTTCTTGAAACCTGTAGTTGGAATATTTCACTATGCGATTCATAACTCATCGCAGTTAAGAAACGTATCAATCTTCTTTTTACTTCGAGAAAATCCCTCAGTACACGCGTTCCTCACGGTAAAATTTTTTGGAGACGACTTTGTACTGTATACCACCAGGGTTATAATATTACACGTTATATATTAAACATAATAGTTAATATAAAAAGTGCAATATGCTATACCTGAACTCTCAAAACTGATCCATCAGAAGTAACAGGTGGTGGCAGCGCATTTCCGCAGAACGCTCCGTGTCTTCTTAACACGTCTGCTCCTAGCTTGGAATGAACAGTCACACTGTCGTACTCACACTCCTGAAAATGAACGTATATATATTTCAAAGCACTATCTATAAACATCTATCACTTATCAATGAGTTGAAACTGTGATCAACAGCGATAAATGAATTTCGAGCAATTTCATCCTATATTGATATGAATAACTGCGAAGATATTGAGATGAGAGAAAATATGAAAAATATTTTGAGGGATTTTATCAATGATACAACACAATGATTTTTATAATTATTGTACATTTGTTTATCTTTACGCAATAACCTCAGAAATAGCTTGATCGCCGATTTGAATGCGGCTTTTACTTATATATTACGGCAAGCTATAACCTGTTAATTTTATTCCAATTGTTGTAGAAATAAAAACATAAGTAGAAGTTGCGGACTCAGCTAGTCAATTAAAAAGGCTATGTACGAGTATATGTATACTAACCTGTTGATACATGCTGTTCCCTTCTAAGTCAAAATGGGTGAAGTTCAATGTGATTCTGTGTTGCGGAGGGGCCACGATCTCCCAAAGGCAGTTCTTAGACGGGGGATATAGATCCGGAAACGATGGTGACGTTATTGTACCGTTGGGACCATACAGAGCGCCCCCACATGCATCTGTTAAATAAACATAAGAACATATATTGAACTAGCTATGCTCGCGGTTTCGCCTGCATAAAATTAATAGTATATATGTTACTCTTATGTATAGCTATATTATTGTAAAGTTTTATTAAAATCCATTCAGTAGCTTCTTGCGAGATAGAGTAACAAACATTTATCCAACCATATACACTCACTTCCGCGTTTATTATATTTGTAAGTAAATTATTATTACTATAGTAGTTCTTTCAGAAAAGTAGTTTACTTTGTAAGCATTATTTTGGTTGCAAGATTAAATGAAATATGGCAATGAAATTACAGGGTACGAAGGCATGAAATTAGTCCTCAATCAAAATCAAAAACCATTGATTCATGTAGGATATGTAAGTCCAGTTTTATACATTAATATATTTTCCCTATCGTCCAGTTCAGTATGCAGATTCAATTGAGTTGAATGACGTGATTTTCACTTACCATGAAATTTAAATTACATAAAAATCGTATGTTTTTAATATGTATCTACTAACACAAAGTGTCAAACTTTTGTACAATATTTTGGAGACAATACTTATGACCAGAAAAACTTCATTATTCAGAGAACTTTAATGAAGTTTTATTATTCATGGAAGATACATATTTCTAGAAGTGTCAAATATACAGCAGCTGTTGACTGTTGTAAGTCGTGAATTGAATACTCAATTATTCCAATAGCCAAGAATATAACTGATTTATTTTGTTACTCAAGTCCTATAAAGTACATTTCATATTTCACTCTGACGAATTAATGCTATTTGGTAGTTTGTATTCAGAACAAATCCTAAAAAATTTACAATTTATAGATCATTTAAAAGAACAATATGCAACTTATTGCTCATTCTTATTGATCGAATTTGTATTCAGCATGAGTGATAATTTTTAAAATATGAATTTTTAAAAGACTTTATATTAAGTTTTTGTTTACAAGATTATTTCTATTACCTACGACTAAAATTTTAAAATGTGTGAAGAACAACGAATAATGTTTCATATTCGACACCTTCGCTAGTGTTTATTAAAAGTTCTTATGTTTGCAGTAAAAAAATAGTAGATATACTGAAAGTTGCAATAAACTGAGTGATAGTGAATATACGAAGTAGGTGGACCATCAGCATGTTTGACATTTCAATTATATAGAAAATGCTGTAACTGTTGTAAACATATGTTGTAAACCAATTTATTTGCATAAATATAAGACTGCGTTTCGAATTAGTGGTAGAATAAAAAATATGACTATTCAAAAGTTCTTGTAATGAGTTTATATTAATAAACATTATTTCTATTTCTGAAAATAAAATTTAAATATTATATACTACATTAAAATAGTTTCTTAACAACAACGACCAAAAACAAACTTACTTTCACACTTCTTGCCATCCGAATGCAACTCGTAACCAATATCACAAGCACATTCATATCCGCCCAGTGTGTTGACGCAGGAATGACTGCAGCCGTGTTCTATAGAAGCACATTCATCAAACTCCTTCATGAAGGTCGCAGAGAAACCTGCTTTTTGTACAGTACTATCCGATTCGAATATCACTAACAATTTGTTTGAGGTAGATCTGGAAATATAAGTTCAATCTAATATTTTGATAAGAGTAGCGGCGTGGTGGGCCATAACCCAATGCCCTGGTTTCCTAAAATATGACCGTGCGCAGTAATAGCTGGCACATCCGTCATACTCTTGAACGAGTGTTGCTTGTAGGGACTGGTCGGCTCTAATCACTATGACTGATTTAATCTTATGTATTCAATATTTTGAGCCTAATAAATTAGTGCTAGTTGGTAGTTTATATTCACATATTTGAACTTAAAAATGTAAGGTTACAGGGTTTATTTAAAAGATTTTTGCTTTGTTCTTTTTGGGATGAGACAAGTTTGCGAATGAGAGGTACATAAAAAAAAAAATGTGACTATTCAAAAGTCCTTAAATTAAATTAATTTGAATAAACATTCTAACTTAACTGTAAAATAACAACTGGAAGAAAAAAGTTGCTCCATTTTTTTTATAATATAGTCGTCGGGACGTTCCTGATCAAAGATGAGTAAGTTTGGTGTCACTTTATTTACTTTGGAGTGTGAAAGACGTTCTTTCTAGGCAAAATCGTATTTCTCCTTCATTTTCCATAAAATATATTCTTTTCTAAAATATAGTCAACTGTCTATTTTTATTTATTCTTTGTATGGATTAAATAATGTTGTGGATGGATGGATTAAGTAAACAAATAATGTTAATTTTCATGATGATGCGGCCGGCTTTAAGAGAGTTAAACAATCTTTAAAAGGTAACAAACAGACAGAGACACTTTTACATTTATAATATTAGTAAGTATTAAGTTGATAATGATCCCGACTACCCCATCTAGGATAACATTAGTCATGATGGTATATTAATGTTAAGTATGTGCATACCTGATATCTGGAGGAATCTTGTGTCCACAGAACATGCCAATAAGTGGACTGTCCACAGAATCACCGTCTCTCACTTTCACTTTATCATAAGAACACGTGTCGTGATTCTCCACTTCGAAGGAATGGAATCTGAGAGCTACTTGATAGTCCTGAGGAAATTAAAAGCACCAATTAGGTTTTATACACCTGTATAGGGAGGAACAGATTACTAAATGAACTAATACACTAACATCTAGGAATATATACTGAATAGTAGTCACGTTGGAATCATTGCAAACACAAATTTTGTTACACTATAATTTGTATTCACTTTTGTTAAGGTACCTTTCTCATATCCACCTATTTATATACATAATATACCAAAAAAACAACCTAAAATATGGGTACTATTTTAAGTTAGTATATAAATAGGTGGACATGAAAAAGGTACCTTAACAAAAGTGAATACAGATTAAACTAGCATTTAGAAACTATACTGATTAGTAGTCATGTCATGCAATGATTGCAAACAATTTTTGTTACTGTTAATTGTACCGATATTGTATGTTGTCCTCAAATATTATGTATACAAATATCTTGACATGAAAAAGCTACCTTAACAAAAGTGAATACAAATTAAATTTACTTACTTGTGGTACCGTTAACCTCCAAATGCAAAGTTTATTCGGTTGATAGTCATCGGGATAGTTTGGCGATTCTAAATGACCACTGCTGTCCACCTCAATATCACCACCGCAAACAGCTGATATGTAAATAAAAAAAATCTTTTTATATATCTCAAATACTAAAGTTGACACTTATCATCCTGTGGGTCGATGATAAGTGGTAACCGCTACTTCTTTATTACACCTAATGCGCACCTCGTACTTACTTCAGGGTATAGTTGAAAATCAGTGTTTGCTCCTTGGGCAAAAACCACACTGTGTCTATTAGCACTGCTACATCACAACCAATACGCTCAGGGGGAGCGGGATTGTTACTCATGTGGACTCACGACTCCATTACTAGCCATGTCAGGCTGACCTCCAAGCGGTTCCGTCTGAAAGCCATCGTGACAAACTCACCAGGAATTTGTCACGATGGGCTAACTGACCTGAGCTTATGTTCATCTTATCATTCTCGACTGTGGCCCGCCAGCGTAAACGGTTAACGCAGGTGGGTGCACCATTACATTATCATCCATAAGAAAAACAAAAAATAACACTGTGTCATACACTTGTTTTTTTTAATTTTGTTACCGGTTAGTTATATATTTAATGTTTATCTTTATAATAGCATCAATATCCATACGAGCACCCAATAATTGTGCACAAGCACGTAGGCGGCACTTATTTGATGTTCCATAGAGAAGAACAGAGCTGGCCAAGCAGGTTCTCTTTACTCTTGCACTGAGTATACCCAACGGTTTCTTAAGCTAGACATGTTTACATGTAACTTGTTGAAATTTAGCAGAATGGCAATTGATTAAAAAAAATTTAAACTGGAAATTGTTTTAATTGTTGTAATTTTTTTACATTATCAGTATATGATATTTTTGTGTAACGCTCACTTAGAGCATATTGGAAAATTTGCTTAGTTTTGATATCAATAAATAAATAAGTATTATTATTTAACGGCCTCGGCAGTCTACCAGTTTAGCACACCGCCTTACTTCCGATGATCGTGGGTTCGATTCCTCGCATAGCACAAACATTTGTATTCATGCGTATGATTGTTTGCATCGGTCTGGTTGTACCCTATGTATAATATACATTTATATATATTTACAAAAAAAGTATATAGATCTATACTATTTGTTGTATTTGTATTAGTTATCATATAGTACACATAATACAAGCTTTAGCTAGCTTAACTTAGGTCTAGATGACGCTGTGTGAATTGTCCTGCGATTATTATTATTATTTTGTTATATGTATTTGTTAACCATAAAATTACGTTAACTTGCAGAATATAAGCCTATATACAATCGAGATTATATACATTGTAAGCTTACCTTCGTAATGTGCTTTAAACCCTCTGTGGGGCTTTGATTTGGGCCCGGGCTGATAAACGACAGTTAGGCGCGAGCCACTGGACCGCATCATTGGACCCTTTCCGGAGCCACAAATGCGACCAAGGACCGGGGCATCAGGCATATACCCGTCTCGTACCTCCACCCATTCAGATCGGCATTCCTCCGACTTGTGAATATCAATTTCTGTTGACAAAGAAAATAAAATAAAATTATTGACGACTTCACTGGTTTAGCAAAACGATAGCATATTTGACATTCATGATGTTATATATATATATCTAAATATATATAACTTAAAGGTAGTGATCTATCAACGCACAGCCCAAACCACTGGACGATCGGGCTAAAATTTGGCATACAGGTAGATGTTACGACGTAGGCATCCGCTAAGAAAGGATTTTGATTAATTCGATCCCCAAAGGGATAAAATAGGGGAAGAAAGTTTGTATGAAACTTTGTCAATTTTAAACCGCTCGGGCAGAGACTTTGCATGCATAAAGCTGCTATGACGTAGGCATCCCCTAAGAAATGATTTTGATCAATTCCACCCCTAAGGGGATAAATTAACGCGAGTGAAGCCGCGGGCAAAAGCTAGTCCATATATATATAGTAGTTGCATTGGAGATTGGAGAATAATCTCAACTATGATAGGGATCAGTGGAAGAAGATGACATATTACGCTGATTACAAATGGGATAAAGACCAAGTAATAATGATACGTTAAATAAACACAACTGTTTCTGTCTAGTCTAGTCACAAAACTATAAATTGTGTCAATAAAAATTAAAAGGACCAAACGATAATTGCAATTGCAATTATCTTTTAATTTTGCAATTACGCTACATAACCAAATGATTGATTTCTCTAAGAATCTTGTTATTGTTTTTCGTCGGAAAATTCACAGAAGGTTCTAGAAAGGTTTTTTTACTTACAAATCAAAATATAACTGACAGGGCACGCGCCCGTCATACCGTCTTATATTTGAATCTCTACTTTATATGTACTCACATATGATATAATCTTGTCATATCACATCAGTCAGCATTTTGTCATTTGGGATGTGTACGTATTCGTAAAATTCTGTAGTCATTTCGTACTCTGGTATTAGGACCTTGTTATTTTATATTGTATATTATATTTCAGATGATCTAGTCTAGTGATTTTAATTTGCAACTTGAATGGCAAACGAGCCGCCTGTCCACCTGATGGAAAATCTCAATCGTCGCATACGTGATACATGAATATCATCACGACCATCACAAAGTATAAGTATATATATTGACGATATTTTGACGCTAGTGTAAAATTCCAAACGAGTGGTAGAATGAACAAAAAATACTATACAAAAGTGCTTAAATTAAGTTCAATTGAATAGGGATTATTTCTATTTTTATAAAAATAAGTCAAAATATTAACACAGAAAATCGCCAAATTTCTGCAAAATCAAAATAATTGAAACACCAACAAATTATTAAATACTATATACCGTAATATAAGACGGTATGGCAGGATTTACAAATAACGATGAATGTATGTAATTTTTAACGTACTATCTTATATTTTAACAAAATGAGGGTAAGCGATTATATTCTTTGTGCAATATGACTATTCAAAAGTGCTTAAATTAAGTATAACCGAAGACGTAAGTAGATACGAAAAAATATATTTAAAAAAAAATCTGTCCTCAAATTGTCTCTACTTTTTTTTAGTTAGTTTAAAAGCATTTAGTTTAAATCGAGACTAATCCTCAATTACTTAAGTCATTTTGAAGACTAAAGCTGTATATACATGGTACGTATATTAGTAATGAGAATTACTGGCTTAACTTCATTCTCATCCTTCATCATCGTCATAGGTGACCAGAGAAATACAAAGAACCATTCCATGATTATCCATAAAGAAAAATAAAACTAATCTTCTCACATATTATTTCGACACCAGCAATTTATACTAAGCCAACTCCAATTTTCAGTAAATTCGTTTTTTTATGCTAAACTGCTTAAAATGGTGTTTTTTTATATATAAAAAAAAATATTAAGAAATATATAAAAAAAACGAAGTTACTGAAAATTCGAGTTAGCTTAGTATAAATTGCTGGTGTCGATTTAGTCCATCCAATATATTGGCTCTATCTATGTGATGGAATATCGTGACGTATATACCAACTGTATACTATATATAAGATGATTTTTTCAAAAGCTTTTTGACGATAAACATCTTCACAGCGTATCCTAAGAACCAAGAGTACGATCGTCCAAAGGAAAACATAACTAATCTTCTCACGTGTTTAATTAGTCCATCTAACGTTTTGGCCCTACCAATGCGATGGAAAATCGTGTCGTGTATATCAAGTATAATATTTGTAAGGGAATTTTGTTAAAAAAATTAAGGTTTCAGAGATTTGCGTAGGTTTACTTAGATATCTGGCTGCTCACGCAAAAACGACGTGGGCGAAGTCACATTATCCGTCTAATGGCTATTCAAGGTAATTAATTAATGTGATAAATTATCTTGAGATATTAGAAAATCGTTTTATGTTCAATTGTTATTAAGTAACAATTACTTAAAAATTAAAGACATCCTTTAAAATTAAGTATTTATTTCTTAATACACATTTTAATATTAAATCTATAATATTATTAAAATCATTATTATTTTTAGCTACAAGTCTGTTTATTATATAGATATATCACAACGTTTGAAAACTAGTACATAATAATATGGAATATTGCGAAACAAATAAGAATAACTTCAACCGTTGTCCGATCGTTGACAACACTCAAAATTATAATCCACGATATAACTTTGAAACCGCCTAAAGTTAGCGAGACGTGATTTGCCGGCAACTTTACAAACGGGTTCTTGTTGATGCGAGTCGTGATTTAATTTGGGAAACTATTGAACTGTTTTGCAACTTTATTTCTGTTTCTTGATAGATTAATAGCGGTCCAATACTAGAGCACTCGTAAACCAAGCTTATAGTGGCCGGCGAGAATTTACGATGCTCTCTGCTAACTCACCAGACAACGTCGACCTTCCCGCTCCCCCGTAGGCCTTCAAAATTGAAACGACTATAAAGAAAGATTGTACGAAATAGGGGGCTCTATTTATATTGGAAGGTTTGCATGAAACAGAACTTGCTGGTCACTAACGAAACGAATCGAAGTGGAAACTTATTGCTTGCGATGCCTTTATTCTGAGTGAAAGGTGCTCTTTATTGAATAACGGAAGCAAAGAACACAATCGCTCTTTGAAGACAATAAGATAAACACAAAATTGGTAGACGTTTCTATTGGAATATTACAAAATTGTATTTGTATTATGTTGTACAATATTAAACGTATATTATCTTAATAGAATTTTCTACAAATGGCTACGTTTGAATTTTGCATGTTATTTTCAATCGGGGATCAGCGGAAGGTTTATGATATTCTAAAATTTTATCATAACTGAATCATTTTACGATTTTAATTATTTCTGAAATAGATTACTCCCGTATTGCTGTCCCATAAAAAAAGTTTTATTTTTTCTAGAAAATAACATAATATATATTTTACCTCAGCTGAATAATAGGTAGGTACTTTTTTTAGGTTTACACTATATTTTTACTACTTTTACTATTTTTACTGACGCAGACTTTAAAAAGTTGCGCTCAGTGACGACGCGACGGTTTCCATTCACCATTAGATAAATCATCACCTTGTTTGCCATTCCAATTATATAAAAAAACTACTACGTCTTTTGAGGTGAGTATAATGAGAAAACAATAATTGTATTTTAAAATAAAATTAATTGTATGTTCACTATAATTTTAACATTAAAATATGAACTTTTTATTAATAAATAATTATGAATTAGTTTTACTTAAAAGCCTTTTAACCACATGGAGCCTTATTAATGTAACGCTATTTATGTATATATACCAATTATCGATGCTTTTGTACTTGATTACCTTTTGAAGTTACAGCGTATAATATTTGGTTTTGAAAATTAAAGCTTTCACAGAAAATTATAGTCGCCCTAATTCATATTTAATGAAATATTATATTTTAAATAAAAATTTAATTTTTTTTTTAATATTGTGTTCAGACTACTTAATGACCTTACAAGATCGGTAGGGTTCAGATTAAGTGTTCTCTATGATAAATCTTGTGTCCAATTGGCGACCTACATTCAGTTGAATTTGTGGCAATATTGTCCAATATCAGTTTTTTTAATGTACGATAATGGAATGGTGTACCCGCCTGAGCTGACGGTATACGCTGGCGGTGCACTAGCGGGGGATGAATAGGATAAACATGAAGTTAGGTCAGTTAGCCCATTGTGATGAATATCACCAGGAGTTATCCACGATGGTTTCCATGGGGTATCTGGAGAAGTCTTCCTCGTGTTGACCTAACATGGCAAATTGTTAGCAAAGGATGCAAGATAAATTGTTAGCTGTTCCCGATTACTAATAATCTCTTCTCACCTGCAATATATCGTTTCAACTAACAACCCAGTTTGCTAAATAGATAAGAATTTTTATTTATAATTTAGTACACACATATAGGCTTAGTTACAAATAGTATACACTATAGATTATTTGAATCAATGCAATACAATATGGGTAAACCTGCATGTGTGTGCTACTATATATAGTACAAAATGGTACATAGCTCAGTGCGGAGAATCACTCGTGGAGTAACACATAGATTTTCAGCTATGTACTTTTTAAAAATAAAAAAAAATATTAACTAAACAACAGGAAATAAATAAATATTTTATTCGTTATTGGAATTACATAAAAAAGACATACAAGTCGTATATGTTGCTACATAGTTAGGGTAATTGCAGCTCGCTATATTTTCAATCAGCTGCCATCCATCAATCAGCACCCCATTCTGTTGATTGCTGCCTGACCTATGTTAAGCCGATTATTATTGCATTTTATGAGGGTCAATGTTAATTCTTTATTAATTTTACTGTGAATGGCATATATTGGAAACAGATAGGGAATGCACTGGTCATAACTGAATTATTTATTTATTTGTAAAATTACGTTTTTGGTGAGTATTACAGATATAAATAAATAGAAAAAACTCTAATATATTGATTGCGGTTGCGTTAAATAGTGAATCCTTTAACAAGTGTCGCAATCCGTACTATCGATATTAATGGCACAAATGCTAAAATGTGTCAGT